CCCAGAAAGTGAAATCAAACCTTTATAGTCCACAGGCCAATGCTCTAACCACAGAGCAAACCAGCCAGGGCTCATGGAGGTGTCATTTTTAATGACATTTGTCAACAGCTCAAATGTTCAACACTGAAAGGGTTAGCAGTTTGGTTCTGGTGATTTTCAAACGTTTTTTCTTATGTTTCTTTCTAAACAGAACGCATTCGTATTATAATCCTCATACAGCTATTTTTACTTTGCAAAGACATCTGGTTCTGAAATGACAGAACGACTTCTCCCATTATCTTAAACAATTGTGCAGGACAACAGTGTGATCAGACTACAAAAGACAGGGTGTGTGCAAATCCTTCTTCAGCCATGATCCACTTTTCACTTGCAAAGGAGGCTTGATTAAAAAATAAATAAATAAATAAATAAATAAATAAATAAATAAATAGCCCCTGGAGGTGGAGAGAAAGGGAGACATCACTGAAGAAGGACTCTGCAGTGCGAGGCTGCTCAGCTGGAAACTGAGAATGGGGGTGATGGGAACAGGGAGGCAGGGGGCTGGGGTCGTGGCGACATAGATTGAAAATGAGCATTTATTTAGTCACCGTAAGTCACCCCGATTTTTATATACCTGCTTTATTGATCAAATAGCCAATGAGGACAGAGAACCGGGTGCCATTTCCTAACCTGGAAATGAGCTCTGGGGCAGCGATGTCTCAGTTCACCAGCGCCCCCTCCTGTTGGATGAGCCACATGGCAGGTCCAGAAAGGAATGATTTTACAGAGGAAGAATGGAGATCCTTTCAGAGGGAGGGACGGGAGGAATCTTGAAGATCCAGTCTGGCCCTAGAGACCAGGGGGCAGCATCTCACAAGTCCCTTATGAAACGCCTCCAAAACCAGGATTCCAAGTTTGCAGAATTCTGCCTACTGTATGTCCTCTTACAGTTTCCTGATGCATTTTAGCATATCAAAGTCATTAAAAAGTCCTGCAACAAAGGAACTAATTTAGCTTTCCCAAAAATCTGTGGTCTCCTTTTACAAAGAAAGCCCTTTAACATCTCTTGGAAATAACGTCCCATTGGAACCACTGCTGAAGAGGATCCATACGTGAACAGGGCTGGGCTGCGCTAGGATCAGTCTGGAGACGGGAAGCTTGGCTCGGTTTTCACGTTGGGGCCTCAGGAGCTGGGAGCTCTCTCCCTCTCAAAGCCCTGCTGGCTGGGCTCAGATGATAAGAATGCTGGCAGTGGTTTACTCTATGCCAGCTATGGGTAAGCATTTGATGTATTCACTCATCTCATTCTCACAACAGTCTATAGGGTGGGTACAGGTTTTTATAGATAAGAAACTAAGTTGAGCCTGGCTAGCGTGGTTCAATGGCTCAGTGGTTGAGCATCAACCTATGAACCAAGAGGTTCAATTCCCAGTAGGGGCACATGTCTGGGTTGTGGGCTTGATCCCAATGGGGGGGCGTGAGGGAGGCGGCCGATCAGATTCTCTCTCATCACTGATGTTTCTGTCTCTCTCTCCCTTTCCCTTCCTCTCTGAGATCAATAAAAAAATATTTAAAAAAAAAACAAACACTAAAGTTGAACTCTCACTCACTGCCAGTGGAAACACAAAGCTGGTACAGCCATGTTGGAAGACTGCTATACAGTTTGGGACGGGTCTAAATCCAAATAATGCCCACAGGGCCACCCGCCGGGTCTCCTGACCTGAGGGAGCTTTTTCTTCAGATAAGAGAGGGTCACAGAGGAAAAGGGGAGGGACTCGCTTGTTTCTGAGGTTCTCCAGAGGCAGACGCTGAGGGGGACCAGGTATGAGGGAGGGAGGGAGGGAGGGAGGGCAGGCCAGTGTGGGGTAGGGACTGAAAGAGGGCTGGCTGCCTGCTTCTCCTACAAAGTAGGGGGCACAATAGAAGGGCCAAAGGAATTCCCCCTGGAGCGGGAGGCAGCCAGGTGCCGGCAGCCCCGTCCTCATTCTCCTTGCACCTGCTGGTATCTCGCATTCTGCCTCTGCCCCCAGGAGCCCACCAGTGCTGAAGTGGGGACTTCCTCCCAGGCCAGAGGGACACTGTCCAAAACCACACAGCGGCCTGGCAGGGGCGGGGACCTGTGCCCCCGGGGTGTGGGGAGCCTCCCTCCTCCACCAGGAGAGTCAGGGAAGGAGAGACCTTCCGAGGCCATCTGGGACTTTGTCCAGGGGGCACCCAGGAATCTCTGTGGGGCCAGCACCAGCCCCCACACTGCTCAGCAGAGGGGCCCAGAGGACCCACCCACCCAGGCCCTCTCCCCTTCCCGGTCCGGCCCAGCACCACAGCCAGCCCCCGTAGGAGCCTGGGGGGAAGGTGAGGTATGAGTATTTCTGGGTTTTGGTTCATTTACTTGTTGACTGGCCGTCGCCCCATGAGGAGGTGGTGCTCATGAGGGCAACCCAAGGCCCGGTCTGCCTGGGCTCCAGGAAAAGGGAATGGCACTCCCCAGCCCCGCTTCACCCCACCCCCACGGCCAGGCCTGCATAGGGCCTGGGACTCCTAGTCTGGGGACTCCTAGTCTGGCCTTTGGGCCCTGGGTGGCCTAGTCGGCTGTCCTGTTCTCCCCCAGCCATACCTTGGGTGCCCTCACCCAATGCCACCACTGGGCTGGGCTTATCTGTCTTCCTGGTTGATGGAGATCTTCCTGGGGCAGCTCCTGCCGGCCCCACAGGCTCCGGGCCAGGCCAGGTCTCCAGGAAGGGATCAGTGCAAACCTCTCACCCTCCTAGGCAGCCTGTGCCTGAGGCTGGGCCTGAGCAAACGGGGCTGTTCCATGACTGGGTCCTGCTGCCCACCTCCCAGGCCCTTCCTGCTCCCTCACCCCAGGGGCTTATTCTGGCCCCAGGGGAGTGTCCTGTCTCCCCAGACATTGAGGATCTCCAACCTTAACCTCTCCAGCCCCTGGGAGTGAGTGCAGTCACCTGGAAGCTCTGCCCTCCTCAAAATTCCTAGGCTGACACACCAGGGAGTTGTGCGTTGTCACGTGGCTGCCACTAGGGGGCTTCCTCTCTCCACCCGTCTTCTGTCCTCAAGTCCCCTCTGAACCTCCAGCCCTCTCCCACCTCCACCTCATGCCTGGATCTGATGGAAACTGCCAGGTCAGCCTGGCCATTTCCTGGCTAGAAGCTGGAGGACATACTGTTTCATTTTGGGCCTTGAGTTTTGTTGCATTTGAACCTTGAATCCTGATGCCCTCACTGCCCGCATTTCTGATTGATGTTTTTCTTGCAGTGTCTTGTTTACTCTATTTCTCCAATCCGGTCCCCTTCACCGCCTGATGCCTGCTGACGTCCTCTTCCGATTGCTTCCAGGCCCTGCCACACGGTCACCTTTGAATCTCTGTTCGGGCCCCACTGGGAGGGTTTCACTGTTTTTGAATTCCGAGTCTTTTTTCTGGGTTCTCACCCCGGACTCCAGGCAGGCAGGCTCACACAATCGGCCACTTTTCTATGGCTGCTTCGCCCTCTTCGTGGCCTAAAACAACATCAGTTTATTGCCTTCGTGTCTGTGGCCTAGAATTCTGACAAGCATCTCCCTGACGGAAGCCACGGCTTCAGCAGGGCTGCTTCCAGTCTGGAGATTCTGGAGAACCAGGGCCTCACCTTTCCCAGCTCCCGGGGCCACCCTCAGCCCATGGCCTGTGCCCCTTCCGCCCGCCGTCTTCAAAGCCAGCAATAGTGGGCTGTGTCCTTCTCCTATCACATCGCTCGGACTTCCTCCTCTGACTCCTTCCTGTTTGAAGGGCCCTTTTACGCGGGGCTCACCCGGATAATCCAGGAAAATCCCCCATCTCACGCCCTTCATTCTGCATCAGCAGAATCCCATGGCGGTCAGGAAAGAGGTGCCCACACCCAGCATCCTTCTCCCCCTGGGGCCCAAGCGGGGGGCACATTCCCCGTGTCTTCTCACCAGGTCCCGCAGGACTGTGCCTCCATGAAATATGGTAGCGACCATACTTTGGTAAAGACTGCTGTTTGAATTTTAACCCTTCTAGTCTGGCTCCTGCACCTGGTTACATATAGGATGGTTACCTCAGCTTCCAGGTGGAGACCTGGAGGCTAAGGCAATTTTCCTGTGCCTGGGACCAGGACCACAGGAGATGGATTCCCACTGACTCAGTAGTTTCAAGGGTAGAAACTGTAGATAACCTTTAGAGACTAACCTCTGAGCTGCTTCTGTATTATCGGCTTTCGCAAGATAGGGCCACATTCCAACGTCCAGCAGGATGTGACTGGGAACGACCCTGCGGGCTGTTCCCAGCCTTTAGAATTTAGAATTTAGAGCAAAGGAAAATTCTTGTGGTTTAGGCCTTTAAAAGGACTGCCTGCACCTGAAACAGTGTGGTGCTCTTGCAGCCATCCTGGCCAGTTTTTCAATAAATCCTTGCCTGCTTTTTTTTTTTAATCAATCATCAGCCTCCGGTGGTCTTATTTTGAACCCAGGGTTCGACCTATCAACAGTCCGCTGCTCACACAGCACCTTCTTCTCTTGGGCAAATGTCATCGTGTTCCTCTCTCTCTCTGCCTTGGTTTCCCCACTTCCCATGAGAGCTTTTTGGTATCGCCTCCCAGATAAACTATTTGCACCCCCGCCCTGGTCCCAGGTCAGCATTTGGGGGGCCGCATGAAGACCAGGAGCCCTTGACATCTGTGGGATGGGGGCCACGGGCATGAGCACTGGGGTGTTTGGGGGGTGCTTTCTCCACGAAACCCCACTCCAGTCGTCCTGGCGCCCAGGTACCTGGTGCCCCTAATGTCCTCCCATAAATCACCTTTCTGATGGAATGAACCTGAGTGGGTTCTGCTGTTGGCAAACCCAAACCTGTAATAGTACAGGGGGGTGGAGGGAGATTGAGGCGTCAGGGAGTGATCTTGGGGTGGACGGGACACGGGTGACCATGGGGGTGTCCAGGAAGCCACCGGGAGTCCACAGAACGTTCGGCAGCCACTGGAGCGTGCAAATGTATTTATTAGAAACACACGTTAGGACGGGAGGCTGGGCTGCAGGAACGAGGCCGTCCAGAGCAGGAGCAGGAGCAGCAGCACCAGCCAGGGGGACGGCCTGTGGATTCTGCCGCGGGCTATCAGCCTCTGCATCCATCTGAAGTGAGTGCTGACGTTGGTGTAGACGCCTGGGCGGTTGGGCCGACCACAGCCCACTCCCCAGCTCACAACTCCAACCTGATACCACAGCCCTTTCCTCTCGCAGGTCAAGGGTCCGCCTGAGTCACCCTGGGGAGCAGAACGGGTGGGCAGGGCCAGGGGCCCGGGGCGGGAGGGGTTCGCAGAGAGCAGGAGGGACTGTAGAGCCGGGAAACCTGGGTACACATCCTACTCCTCCCCCAGGGAGCGCCTGAGGCTCTGCATCTGCAAAAGGGGGCCTCGATCTGCACTCCTCAGGGGGACGCAGGCACCGCTCGGGCCAGGGGCTGGGTGGGCGGGCGACGAGGGCCCCGAAGGCTCGGCTGGGTGGGGAGGGCACTCACGAAGCAGGCGTCCTTGCCGCCTTTGTCGTCGCCAGCACAGATCATGTCTCCCCAGATGTTGTGACGGAAAGAAGGCTCTGAGAACATGTGGTTACACATGCTGGTGTTTATGATGCCGACCTCCACCTCCTGGAGGGAGTAGGGAGACGGCAGGTCTGCAGAGGAGTTGGGAGACAGAAAAAGAGGGCAGCCTGAGACTCTCCTCAGCCGCCTGGCTGGGGGGAGGGTGTGGGTGACCCGGGGGAGGGGGAGGGCATCCACAGCGCCTCGAGGAGCCCTCTACCCCCGCCGAGCTAGCACCCAGCACCTCAGGGATGATGAGCAGAATCACAGAAGGACCCAATAACTGGACCAGCCGTTACAGCTGCTCCCAGTTTCCCTACGTGCAGCATGCAGATGACAGCGGTGAAGAGAGACGGTGAGCATCCACGGGGGAGGGGGTAACGCAGCTGAGATGTTTTAGGATGAATACATCTCAGGGCCTGAGCCAAGCCCTCCCAAGCACCCCCAGACTGCAGCGCAGTCATGACCCACGTTTAGGAAAGATGCACCAAGAAATGGCAGAGCCCGACAGGAAGCCAGCTCCGTCCAATTCCCAAATCCGGGCTGGGATCATTGCCTTTTCCTGCAGAGGGTCGTGACCACAATTACGCCAAAAGCTGATGGGTCGGCAGAGCCTTCCATCTGCGGGGCACGCTGCTACCCGGCTGTGTGAATGCTTTTAAACCCCAGAGCCACCCTATGAGGTGGGAACTACTGTCACTCCACTGTACAGGTGAGGAGGTGGAGGCACAGTTAGATGAAGTGCTTACACAAGGTCTTGCTGGAGGCCAAGGACAGTAGTTAGCGTAATCAATGTTAAGTTCCTCAGAAGGCTGATGGACATCTCCAGCAGCGCTAAAGATCTCCTTATCATTACCTGCTGCCAAACAGCTGAGGGCAATTCCCCCAACCTGATAATCCTTTATTGTTTGCCAAACCTTACCTTTGATGTGTACATCTGCTTTGCTAAAGGGGAAAAAATCCTATATAATAAAAGGCTAATATGCAAATGACGGAATGGTGGAATGACCGGTCACTATGATGCCCACTGACCACCAGGGACAGACACTCAACGCAGGAGCTGCCCCCCTGGTGGTCAGTGTGCTCCCACGGGGGAGCTTTGCTCAGCCAGAAGCCGGGATGTCCCTAAGCCATCAGCCAGACATCCCCCAGGGCTCCCGAACTGCAAGAGGGTGCAGGCCAGGCTGAGGGACCCCCCCCCTTAAGTGCACGGATTTCATGCACTGGGCCTCTGGTGTGTTAATAAAAAGCTGTGGGTAGACAGCTCTCTAGTGAAGTTGACTCCCCGAAGAGATTCGGGGAGTCAACTTCACTAGAGAGCTGGTTTCCTCCCAAATTTATATTTCTTGTCTAGTCCTTATTCATTTATGCGGAGCCCTCCTCCAGATTCCTGAACGCTTGCTGTGAAGAAGAGACTGTGGCAGGTCTTCCAGCGAGCACGTGGCAGAGCTAAGTTTCGCCTCAGGCAGGGGGGCTCCGCCTGTGAGAACACCGTGGAGCCTCAGGCTGGATGTGATTACCTGTCGGCCTCAGGCCAGGGAGGGAGGGAACAGTCTGCCTGGCTGGGCCTCCCTGAAGCCCTCTGGGGCCAGGCAGAGGCGCTTTATCCAGCCCCTTCTACCGGAAAGGAAAGGACCCCACCTCCAGAGGGAGGCAAGCCTAGTGTTGACTTCCCTATCCCCTTTGCCAGTCCCAGATGTGTGACCGTCCAGAGAGAGCCCTGGATGCTCCAATGACCCCTTCTGGGGTCTTGGGCAATGTCCATACCCTTGCCAGCTTGCTCATCTGTAACGTGGGTATAAATAGTCCCAGCCTCGTTAGCAGGTAAGCTCCTGAGGGAGATAGACGGTACTCTGCTCACTCCTGAGTCCTCAGAGCCTAGAACAGTGCCCAGCACAGTGTGCGGGCGGGAGCTTCCTCTGTTATTATTACTGTTGTTAAGGGTGAGGCAGGATTGGGCCAGGCCAGGGAGCAGTGTAGGGGGCAGTCCGGGTGGAGGGCCTATGCCTCCCCTAGCAGAGGGCACCTTGGGGGAGGCTGTGCCCAGTGGTTTCAGGGGATTCATGGTGAGGGATGAGCAGGTGGTGGCTCATACGGACTCAAAGACCTCCTGCAGAGCCACGGTGCGAGGATAGTTGACATTCTGAGGACAGAGAAAAGGGCTTAGCATTCCCGGAGAGCAGGCCAATGTGGAGAGATAAAGAAGGTGTGGAGAGACGGAGTGAGGAGGCTGGGTGGCTGGGGGAGGGGTGAGCACCAGGCTGGGGCCTTTCTGACAGGCCCTCCTGGGAAGGCACATGGGCATTTCCTCATTGTCAGCTGAATCCAGTGGCGTTGGCAAAGCCACGCCCTGGAAACACGCTTTGCCAAAAGGCAGGAGTGTTGTCAGCTTGACCTTCAGCCCAGGTGCCAGGGGGTGCGTTTTGTTATTTAAATCTAGCACCAGGAATGCAGACCACTCCGGCCCACCAGAGAATGCGCATAACCTCCTTGTTTTAGTAAAACTTCCTGTGTGTGTGTGTGTGTGTGTGTGTGTGTGTGTGTTGTTTTTTGTTTTTTGTTTTTTTGCTGTTTTGGCAGTATTGGCTCGGTCCCTGTCCCTGTCCGAGGACAGTGGTCCCATCCAGCCCCAGTTTTTTCCTTCCACCTCTGTGTCTGCCTCTTTCATTTTCTCAATCCCCGACGCCCCGCCCCTCCTCAGGAAGCAGACCGCTCTCTGGCCCTGCTGGGGGTGGAAAAGAGATAAACATTTTCACCCTCCCACCCCCAACACCCCCGCAGGTGGAAGGCCAGCCTGGGCCACGCTGGCCCCCCTCTCACCACTCGCTCTGGCTCCGGCTCAGGGTGGGAGAGGGAACTGAGTGGGCACAGGAAGTCCCGCCCTTTCACGGGGAGCGGGAGTGCACAGCAGGTGGGGAGAGAATGCTGACCAGGCCCACCGAGGGGCCCAGCTGATGCAGCTGGAACAGGGGGCGGAGGACCAGGCCTCTGCTCCCCTGCCCTGGACACCCCGCCCCCTGTCCCCAGCCTCACCCGTATTTTCTTGGATGTCCCCCCAGCCGGTCACCCAGCAGTCAGACCGGTTCTGGAACTCTTTGAAAGAGGCGAAGACACAGATGGGCTGGATGGACTTGGAGTAGGAGACGGGCGAGGTCAGCCGCAGCATGGCGATGTCAAAGGCTGTCGCCCCCAGGTACTGGGGGCTCAGCACGATCTCCCCCACCTGGTAACGGTTGCGGTAGGCCTGCAGGTTCCAGAAGCTTGGTGCGGCGGTCAGCTCGCCAAACTGGACTGTCCACGAGCCGGGGTACTGGTTACTGGCAGAGAGGAGAGAGCCGTCAGGAGGCCTTACCGAGGGCGAGCTCCCTGAGCACACCTGGGGCCTGTTCCCAAGAGTGCTGAGCGCGCCCTAACCGGTTTGACTCAGGGGATAGAGAGTCAGTCTGTGGACAGAAAGGTCCCAGGTTCGATTCCGGTCAAGGACCAACATGTACCTTGGTTGCAGGCACATCCCCAGTGGAGGATGTTCAGGAGGCAGCTGATCATCTCTCTCATCTATGTTTCTAGCTTCTAACCCTCTCTCCCTTCCTTTTTTATTAAAAAAATCATATATATATATATATATTTTTTTTTTTTTTTTTTTTTTTTTTAAAGAGTGGTGAGCTCAGCCGCTGTGGCTCCGTGGTTGAGCATAGACCTATGAACCAGGAGTCATGGTTCGATTCCCGGCCAGGGCACCTGCCTGGGTTACAGGCTTGATCCCCAATGGAGGGTGTACAAGAGGCAGCCGATCAATAATTCTCGCTAATAACTGATGTTTCTATCCCTCTCCCTTCCTCTCTCTGAAATCAATGAAAACATTAAAATAAAAATGATGGTGAGAGGTTGTCCAGAGAGATTGCAACCCTCTCAAATCCCAGAAACTGGGGACTTTGGGGGTAGGGGGTGGAGGTCAGGCGTGATCTGGCCAATCACTCAACCAGCCTGCCACCCTCCCAGCCCTCCTGAAACCAGAACACCGATGCCCACGAGGGACACCCCGCAGAGTGGAGTGAGAGGAGCTTCCAGGGCCCTCGCTGGCTTGTTCTGTGGACAGAGCGCTGGTCCCGGGTTCCATTCCGGTCACGGGCACACACCTTGGTCGCAGGCTTCTTCTCCGGGGCTGGGCCCTGGTCGGGGCTCTTGCAGGAGGTAACCAATCGATGTGTTTCTCTCACATCCATGTTTCTCTCTGTCTTTCTCTCTCTCTCTCTCTCCCTGAAAATCAATGGGAAATGCCCTCCGGTGAGGATTAAAACAGAACAGCTTCCGGGGCCACTGGGGCCACAGGCCAGCTTCTGTGGGCACTCACCCACCTTGCTCATTCCTCCCACCTGCGGCTCACCTCCCCCGGGAGCGGGCGGGGAGGGGGGTGAAGGCTAGCAATGCCATTTGGGGAGAAGAGAACAAGACAGAGACAGGAACGAGACACGCACAGGTGCCCGGGGAATGTTCTGGAAGACCCTTCTGGGGCAAAACCGAAGCGTTCCCTGCAGGGCCCCCATCTGCAGCGGGGCCTGGGGTTCAGAAGGACACGGAGGGCACGTGGCACACAGACGGCGGTGCAGACCCAGGCCCGGCTCACCTCTCGAAGCAGTGCGCCGCCGTGAGCACCCAGCGCCGGTTGAGCAGGCTGGCGCCGCAGGCGTGGTAGCCCCACAGGCGCAGGCTGCCCTGCCAGGGCCAGCGCCCGAGCGCGGCGTCCTTGCCGCCCACCACGCGCGTCCCCACGGTCCGGCGGCCACAGGGCCCTGGGTGGATGGACAGACCGGACCGGACTGAGCTGCGGGCGACGGGCCCGAATGCCCACCCCAGCCACCGGGGGGGGGGGGGGGGGGCGCGCCAAGGGAAGGGGCTTCCCGGGAGGGGAACCGCGCGCATCGCATCTTGGGGTCACGCACCCCCACCCCCACCCCCACTGGGTCTGCAGGAGCCCCTCACTCCCCCACCCCCCAGGGGCCCACCAGTTACATGTGAGCAACGACGAGTTCTGGAAACCTGGGGGAGAGGGATGGAAAGGTGAGGCGCCCCTGGCTCGCTCGCCCAGGGGACCCGGCAGGGGGCGAGCGCTCCGGGCGCCTCACCTGGAAACAGCGTTTCTTTCTCCGGCCACCCTGAGGGGGGCGAGGAGGAAAGTGAGCCACCGCGGTCTCGGGGCTCCCCGTCCTGGTCCCCCCGCCCCCAGGGCGCCGGCACCTCACCCAGCCTGTCCAGCTCCACGCGCACCCACAGCTGCACCAGCAGCACCGCCGCCGCCGCCGCCGGCGCGCCCATGCCGCCTCCCGCGTCTGGCGCCCCCTCTGCGCCGGGACGCGCGGCCCCGCTGAGGCGCCCCCTGGGGGAGCGGGGACCCCGGCTGCCACCTTCTCCCAGCTGGACTTTCCGGGTCAGAGGGCTTTGGGGACATCTGACCTTTCTGGCCTTTGAGCTTTTCCTGGGGCTGGATCAGCCGCACCCCCCGGAGAGGGCCCAGGAACCAAGGCACCGGAACGACCCCCTCTGGTCTGCACCTCGGGGTCCCGCTGCCCTGCTGCTGCCCAGGAAGGAGCAATGACCAGGACTCCATGAAAGAGCTAACGGTCAGCTCTAACTGGTTTGGCTCAATGGGTAGAGCGTCAGACTGAAAGGTCCCAGGTTCGATTTCGGTCAAGGGCTTGTACCTTGGTTGCGGGCACATCCCCAGTGTGTGTGTGTGTGGGGGGGGGGGGGGGGGGCGTGTGCAGGAGGCAGCTGATCAATGTTTCTTTCTCTATCAATGTTTCTGGCTCTCCCTTCCTCTCTGTAAAAATCAATAATTTTTTTTTTCTTTTTAAAAAATAAAGTGCTAGCCGGAACCGGTTTGGTTCAGTGGTACGGCGTCGGCCTGCGGACTGAAGAGTCCTGGGTTCGATTCCAGTTAAGGGCATGTACCTTGATTGCAGGCACATCCCCAGTAGGGGGTGTGCAAGAGGCAGCTGATTGATGATTCTCTCTCATCAATGTTTCTAACTCTCTATCCTTCTCTCTTCATCTCTGTAAAAAATCAATAAAAAATATATTTAAAAATAAAAATTAAAAATAAATAAAAAATAAAGTGCTAACAGTCTTCACTGAGGCCTGCTAGGGAAGGGTGCTTAGGCTGGTGCAGGAAGAGGAGATAAATGATGGCCCTGGGCCTTGTCTCTTCCTGAGGAGGCACACAGGCTAGTCCCCCCCTGCCCAGGCTGCCCCCTGGTGGCAGGCCTCCGCCCCTCTCCTCCTCCTCCTGGATTAAATCTTGAAAGGTGGAAAGGATCTTTCAAACACTTACATTCCTGGGGTGCTGGGCTAAGGAAATCACCAACACGGGAGCAAGAGATACCCCAGTGGTTGTCCATCCCAGAATCCCTGTGACCAGTGACGTCGCGTGGGGGTCCCAGGAAGGCTGTGCCTGCCTGGTAGCTCTCTGTGCCCAGAACACCACCAGACACCCTGGAATTCACAACGATGAGTTACTTAGCACTGGCTTCCGGGAGTCCCTCCAAGCAGCACTCCCGCCAACAGCAGCCCCACACAGGAAGTTGAGTTTGCATTACAGGAAGGTGTTTTTACCCCAAAAGAAGGCGTGTTTCCCCCATAGAAAGGTGAGATTTTCGCATGAAGGTGTGTTTTTCCCACAGGAAGTACAATCCCCCCCACCCCAGGAAGTTTGTTTTCTGCAAAAGGAGTACAATGTCCCCAAAGTAACCTGCGTTTCCTTTACATGAAGGCGTGTTTCCTCCAGTGGAAGGTGGGTTTCTTCCATAGGAGATTGTGTTTCCCACACAGGAAGTATTATGGCCATGACAGGAGGTTGTGTATCTCCAAAGGATGGTGTGTTTGTCCCACGAGAAAGCATTTGTCTTCTTCAGGAAGTTGTATTTTCCCAAACCGAAAGGAGTGCTTACCCCACAGGAAATTGTATTTCCCCCACAGGAAGGAGTGTTTCCCCTATAGGAAGTTCTATTTCTGCCACAGGAAGGAGTGTTTCCCCCATAGGAAGTTCTATTTCCCCCACAGAAAGGAGGGTTTCCCACACAGGAAGTTGCATTTCCCCCCACAGGAAGGAGGGTTTCCCACACAGGAAATTGTATTTTCCCCACAGAAAGGAGTGTTTCCCCCATAGGAAGTTCTATTTCCCCCACAGGAAATAGTATTTCCCCCACAGGAAGGAGTGTTTCCCCCACAGGAAGTTGTATTTCCCACACAGGAAAACTTGTTTTGCCCATAGGAAATTGTAGTTCCCCCAGAGGGTGTTTGCGCCATAGGAAGTTGTATTTCTCTCTCAGGAAGGTGTATTCCCCCTACTCACGCCCCCCTGCTGGAGTGCCCGTGAATTCCAAGGCAGGGCCACAGAGGCTAGAGGGTCCTCGGATGCTGCCCCAGAGGAGAGGGGAGAGCTGCTGAAGGGTGTGACCACTCCAGCCATGCGTGGGAGAACCAGGCTGAGGCTGAGGCTGAGGGGCTCGGGGTGTCCTGGGACAGAGGCTGAAGCTCTCATCCAAAGGGTTTCAATCTGCCCTTCCCTCCCCCTGTCTCTTCTGCCCCCTGAAGTTGTCCACAGGGCCCCCCATTCACACACCTGCCTGGGCCTGAGGTCCCAGCCCTGTGCTCCCTCCTCCAGGCGCCAGCTGGCATGTCCACAGCCAGGCCCCAGGCTTCCTTGGAGAGACAGAGCGCCAGCTCACCCTGGCCGAGCCTTCGCCATTCGTGCCCAGAGTGGTGTGGATCCACACTCAGCCCTGCCCCTGACTCCCGGCACCCAGGTCTGCCCATGACACTGACCAAATCCCCCAGGTCTACTCATGACCCTGGGACTGACCTTCTGCTCTGTCCCCAGGGCCTCCCGACTGCATTGCTCTGCCACCCGCTGAGCCTAGGGACAGGGCTGCTGGGGGGAGTGGACTCAGGCCAGCCCTGCAGCTTGCAGCCCTCATTTCCCATCTGAAACACGGAAATAATGGTAATGTGCACCTCGGGGCTGCTGGGAGAGCCTTTCACACACACCCTTCCGGGTCCCGAGGCAGGGCCGGCACCTGCTGGGATGGCCCTCTGCCAGGTCATCTTTATTGCCTTCAGACACACACGCCTACAAAGGGACCAGCCCAGCACTGGGGCTGGAAACCTCCATTCCAAAGAGTCCCAGAAACCCCCAAAGGAATCCCTGAGCCGAGGTGCATGCTGGGAAACACTAGGCTCTGCTCCTGGGGAAGGGGGCGTGGGGGTGGAGCCCAGCCTGGCAGGGAGGGTGAGAGAGCAGCTTAAGGCCTATGGGGGCACCTGAAGGTCTGAAGAGGGAGAGGTGTGAGGCATTACAATGGGGAGCCTTCTGAGGGGAAGGGGCCAGAGAAGGACAAAGGGTTTGGTGGGTGGCGGAAGGCGGAAGGCAGCTTTCCGGGAGGGCTTGGGGAGAAGCCCCTGTGAGAAGCTGCATACTGCATTCCTGGCAGGGGGCGGGGGGCTTGAGATGTGAGGACGCAGGTCTGAGGGTTGAGCTGCACGGTCAGGAAAGCCCCAGGGACACAGTGCCCCCCAGTGGTCCCAGAAACAACAACAAGGCGGTGGAAACGGTCCTCAAAAGGCCTGGCGAGAAGCTTCTGTCGTCAGGGGCTGAGCTCCCGATTGTGTTGAGAATCCACGTGGTGTAGACACTGACGTTGGTGTAGACACCTGGCTTCTTGGAGAGGCCACAGTCAGAGCCCCAGCTCACGACCCCGGCCTGGGTCCAGACGCCACCAACGTCACAGACCAGGGGGCCTCCGGAGTCACCCTGGGGAGAGAGAAAAAGTCCAGAAGCGTGGGGCCGGAAGCTGGACGCCTCTGGGCCAGCCGCCCTCCTTACATGGAGGGGAATTGGGGTTCGCAGGCTCCCAGGCCCATCAGTCTCTCTTCAGGACACAGAGGTCTGGGGCACAGAGCACCAGCGGCCTGGGCGTTGTGGAAGGCAGCAGGGTGGGCTGGCTCAGGAACTGGGGACCAAAACCCTGGCAGGTGGGACAAGCAGGGACACTCTATTCTCTGCATAAAGCTGTGTTTTTCAGAGTAGGGGCTCGAGGGAGAACTGTGCTGCTAACAGTTCTGTTTGTTTCTTTTCTTTTTTTCCTTTTTTTTAAATTAAATATTTTTTATATATTTTATTGGGGTTTTTTTACAGAGAAGAAGAGAAAGGAATAGAGAATTAGAAACATCATGGATGAGAGAGAATCATTGATGAGCTACCTCTTGCACGTCCCCTACTGGGTATGTGCCCGCAACCAAGCCTCGAACCTGGGACCTTTCAGTCTGCAGGCCGACGCTCTATCCACCGAGCCAAACCGGCTTCGGCCTGTTTGTTTCTTTTTGATGAAAAAAAAAAAAAAATCTGAGACAAAACAATACTAAGAGGCGACGAGAGATAGAGTCTGTTTTGCTAATAAGAGCAGCGAAGAGAAGACAGGACGACTCCTAGGAAAACGGGCTTAAAGCCTTCACATGTTATTCTGGGGAGAGACGGTTCTGGCCCCACAGGAAAGCCTCGGGGAGAGGGCTGTGTCACAGTTTGCTTCAGCACACTCGCAGGTGTTCCATGTTCTGATCGTATTTTGTGATGTCTGAGAGGAAGATAGGGCTCAGGAACGTTTCTTTTTGAATTGACCCTTGTATTTAAAAAAAAAAAAATGTCGCCCTTGTCTGCTTTGGGGCCCCCCCGCCCCCGGGGGTGCGTGCTCACCTGGCAGGCGTCCTTCCGGCCGTCCTCGAAGCCAGCGCACAGCATGTCCGCCAGGATGATGGGCTCCTGGCTGGGGGTGATGGAGTTCTCATGGTAGTAGGCGTCACAGGTCTGGGTGTCGATGAGGGGCAGCTGCAGCTGCTGAAGAGTGAAGGGCGGAAGGAGCGCTGGGGAGGGAGCGGGAAGCAGAGCTCAGAGGGGACGCGTGGCCTCCTGGCTCCCGCAGGCTCGCCCACACGCGGATGGACCGATGACAGGAAGCCATTTCTGTGTGCGGGAACCTGCATTTGTGCTCAGGACGCCCCTGTGGACATGCCTGTGTTTACCACTCAAACACCTGGAAGACATGGTCTCTTCCTCCCGGAAGCAGGGCGTGCACAGAACTGTGGCGGCCCCCTCAGCCTCCCTCCCAGCGCCCGGGCAGGGGCATGGGGTGGGCACACGGGAGGGGCGTGGGCAGGAGCTGAGACCTGGTGTCCGGGCCTGGCTCTAGCCGAGGAGTGTAGCCAAGCCACATCCACCAATGGCCCTCCTTCTCCGGGCTTCCCAAGGGTCAGGTCAAACATGGGTTGAATCGTGTCCCGCAAACCTTCATGTCCACCTCGAACCTCAGAATGCACCGTATTTGGAAACAGAGGCCTTGCAGGTATAATGAGTGAGGATGAGGTCGGACTGGGTCAGGGTGAGAGGGCCCTTACCATCAGACAGAAAGGGAGGAGACGGGGAGACACGCAGGGAGATGGCCGTGGGGAGACAGAGGCAGAGAGCGCAGTGATGCAGCCACCAGCCAAGGAGCCCCCAGAGGTTGGGAGAGGCAGGAAGGAGCCTCCCCTGGAGCTTCTGGAGGCCCTGGGACACCTTGCTTTCAGGCCATTGGCCTCCATGCCTGGGCGAGCGTGAATTCCTGCTGACGTAAGCAGCCCAGGACGTGGCCATTTGTGACGGTCGGCCCAGGGCACTAATCCAGGGAGACGCTGCAGACGTGATGGTGACCAGGGCGGCGATAGGTGCTGGTCAGTGTGGAGAGCTCACTCTTGCTTGGCCCGGCCGGCAACGCCTGAAGTCATTCCATGTATCGGCCCCATGAGGCCGGATGAGGAATCCACCGCCTGGCGAAGCTGCCTGGCGGAGTCACTCAGCCGGGGTGAGGCCAGGCGGTCGGCTCTGCCCCTGCCCCTCTGCTGGGCCTGGCACCCATCCCTTGGTTATCGGAGGCTGGGATGGTGGATTAGGGAAGCCCAGGATGTGGGTCTGGGATGGTGGGCTGCCAGGGGCAGGGGCTGTGCCAACAAGTGCGGGTTCCATGTCCTGCCTGAGTGAGGGTGGTGGGGGGCAGCTGCCCCTGGGAGCCGGTCGGGAGCAGCCTCCGCTGCGTCATGATGGACCCCCCCCCCCGCCCCGCCGCCCGCCGCCCGCCCCCAGCTCTGGGTGCCCTCACCTTGGTTGGAGTTGATGTTCCCCCAGCCGGTCACCCAGCACCAGGTGCCGTGACCCAGGGGGTCTCCAGGCTTGGGCAGGCAGACGGGGAGGATGAGGTCGCTGAAGTTGACGGGGGCGGCCAGCTGCAGCAGGGCGATGTCCCCGCTGCCGTGCCCGCCCCTGTAGCTCGGGTGGGGGACGAACTGGGCCACCGCGCGGTAGTGCGGGGACTGGCTGGCCGGGGGGTAGGAGGAGATGGTGCCCAGCATCACCGCGTAGGCTTGCAGGGGTTGGTTCCTGGGGCCGAACATCAAGAGGGTCCTGAGGCTGTGCCCAGGTTCCACGGGCAAGGGCTAAGGACAGCCTTGGTTGGAGGGCCCTAACACCGCAAAAGGGTGTGCGTGTGTGTGCGTGCGTGCGTGTGCATGCGCGTGTGTGCATGTGTGCATGTGTGTATGTGCATGTGTGTGCGCGTGTGTGTGCGCGCGGGTGTATGTGTGCATGTGTGTGTGTGTGCGTGCGTGTGTGTGTGTGTGTGTACACATGTCAACAAGGACAAGCATCTTGCTTAAGCCACAAGCAACGCTGCAAGGTGCCCCGTTCTCCCTTCGTGGGGGGAGGGGACGTTGCCTGCTCCAAGGCTGCCCAGCTGGCAAATGGCGGGTTTGAGACTTGGATTTCCAAGGGACATGCTAAGGTGGGAACTTCGGGTTTCTGGGAAAGGAACACTTTCCTGGAAGGGTCAGTGCTGAGTCTGTCTCCTCCCCCCCTTCTTCCCCAGGGCCCAGTCCGGGGCTGGGGGACCCTGAGTGGATAAGTAAGACCCTAGGGGGACACGTTCCTGGCCGTCTCCTGCCCAGGCTCCTGTTCAGATGGGGGAGAGGCGTCGGCGAGGGTGGAGGGCGGGTCCCAGCGGCCCTGGCGCGGGTGCTCACCGGTCAAAGCAGTGGGCAGCAGTCAGCACCCAGTCGTTGGTGATCAAGGAGCCCCCACACACGTGCTGTCCGTACTCCCTGAGGCTGACCTGCCATGGCCACCGGCCCGGCCGGGCATCCTGCCCGGACATGATTCGGCCTGGCACGAGTGGGCGCCCACAAACTGCAGGGTAAGGGGTGGGGGGGGGTTATACAGGTCCCCTCTACACTCCCCTCACCCTGCAGACCTGCCCTCCTTTATCCCTGCCCCTTTCGGGCTGACTTCTTGTCCCCTCTGATTCAGGACTTGATGGGGATACTTTCGACCCTGGGGGCAGGTGACAGCAGCTGAGATGGGTCAAGTGAGACCTGGGGCCCTGGATTGCTCAGTCCAGCTCAGTGGGCACAAGGAAGGTCAGACCACCTTGGCTGGGGCCCTGAACGCAGCGCCTGGCATTGGGGTTTGGATAGAAGCCATGAAGGCGCTGTTTCTGGGGAAGTGGACGCCGGCCCCAATGACGGGGTTTCTTAAAGGATCTGCCCATGTACAAGGCTCGCAGGGCAGGGCCGGGATTACATAATCCTCTCTCTCTCTCTGTCTCCTGCCAAACCCAGGCTCTCCCTCCTGCAGTGCCTCCTCCCACCCTGATGTTTGTCCTACCTGAGTCCAGGCCGGTCGCTCTGGCATTGGTCAGGTTGGATGGGAGAGCCGAGGGGCTTCCCTGGAGGACTGGCAGGAGGGAGAACAAGGTGACCACGCGGGCCAGCTCCATGGCTCCTTCCGCTTGCCGGATGGCCCTTCGGGTCAGAGTCCGCAGACACGCGGGAAGGGGAAGGTGACTGCGGCTCCAGCCCAGGTTTCGGGCCCGCCCTGGGGCGGGGCAGACACCTCCACCCACCCTTCCAGTGCTCCTGGGCACAGGGACTCTGGCCTCTGCCACATCCTTGGCAAGACCCTCGGGCCTTCCCTTCTCTGCTCAGGCCCTGGCATCACAGTCCAGCCTCTCCTGCCCCCTGGGGGGGGTGGGCCCTTACTATGGGCTGGCACTCTGTCAGCCAGGCCACAGGCCCATGCCTGATCCCGGGAGCTACTGTGAACCCTTCCTTCAGCAGAGGAACTGAGACTCTAGTGTTTGAAGGACTTGTTCAAAGCCCTACAGGTGGCAAAGCCAGGTAAATCTACCCCTGGGAGGGGTAGGGGCAGGGAGCAGAACTGCAGACTCTGAGGTACACCCCACTTTGTACCCTCAAGCATTCATTTTGAACCCGGGGCTCTCGAGGGCCCGAGGGGGGCCCCTGATATCTGGGTGCTGAGGAGGGACCCTTATTCAAGGAGGTGGAGCAACTGGAGGAGACGGGGATTCTCCATCTGAAGGATGCCCCAGTGATATTCTCCTCTGACTGCAAGTGCCCCCCCCCCCCCGGCCTGCAGCGGTGACCCTGGCCTCCTGGTCAGAGGCCTTGCAGAGGTTGTGTGCGCCAGGGAGGAGAGCTGACCAGCCGTGGGCGCTAAGCAGGAGGGAGGCTGTGGGAGGCTTTGCCCCGATTCCTAAGTTTTCCCCATTTGCCGAAAAGTGCCCGGCAACCTTTTGATGGCCCCCCACTCCTATCCACCTGACCTCCAGGCAGTTCCCCTTCCAGGGGGCTTACTGCCCCTTGGGGCACGGTGGTTCTCCGAGGCCCCAAATGCTTGATTTAGGCTGAACTCATGCTCAGTGAGTACTCCTGTGTTATTGCTTTTACCCTCTACCTGATCTCTTGATTTCCGAGAAGAAAAAAAAAATGTTGATTTGTTTGTTTCTTGAGTATTTATAACTTTTTTTCTTTATGTATTTTTTAAAATATATTTATTGGTTTCAGAGAGGAGGGCGAGGGATAGAGAGATAGAAACAATGGCGAGAGAGAATCATTGCATGCCCCCCCCAGGGGATGGAGCCCACAACCCCAGGCAGGTGCCCTGGCCGGAATCGAACCCGGGACCCTTCAGTCCGCAGGCTGATGCGCTATCCACTGAGCCAAACCGGCTAGGGCTCTTTATGTATTTATTTCAAAGCTCTGTTGACAGGGGCATAAAAGCTCATGCCTCTGACATCTTTTCAGCGGCTGGTAGCTTTTACCCATGTGAAACACCGCTGTCTAGAGTTCATGGGATTTGCCTTGGGTTCTATTTTATCTGAATTTATCTGATATGTGATCCTCCACACAGCCACTTCCGTGTGGTTTGCAATGTCTTCACCAAGATATTTCTTTCAATCAAAACAGAATGAGCCGGGACCGGTTTGGCTTGCCAGGACCGGTTTGGCTCAATGGATAGAGCGTTGGATTGGGGACTGAAGGGTCCGGGTTCGATTCCGGTCAAGGGCATGTACCTTGGTTGCGGGCATATCCCCAGTAGGGGGTGTGCAAGAGGTGGCTGATCGATGTCTCTCTGTCATCGATGTTTCTAGCTTTCTATCCCTCTCTCTTCCTCTCTGTAAAAAAATCAATAAAATATATTAAAAAAAAAAAAAAAGACGGAATGAAGACATTTATGATTCAGGAGGGGCAAGTCTTTAGTGGGGACTCGAGCCCCGAGCCCAGAGGGTTCTTGGCTGCAGGCAGGAAAGAATTCAGGATGCAGCCACTCAAGAAGTAGGGAAGCAGGTTTTATTGAGCAGAGAGGACAAACACGAAAAGCGACTCCACACACAGGGGCAGACTCTCTGAACAAGAGAAGGAAGGAAGGGAGACCCCAGCCATCTCTAGAGGTTGAGCTAGTTTGCAGTTTCTGTGGAAAATTGCTGATATGGGAAAATAGAGAATGGAAAAGAAAAAAAATATATTGGGATTAACCTTAACTTTTACAAGCTATATTTTGTGGTCTGTTTTCCCTTTATGGATGGATAAGTGATAAGGTATGGCTGAGTAGCTATTAATCGGTCTTTGCAATCTGGGACCACTGGCTCCTAACCGCTTGCCTGCCTGCCCCTGATCACCTCTGCCTGCTGGCCTGATGCCCCTAACTGCTCCTCTTCTGGCCTGACCAACACTAACTGCCTCTGCCTGCAGACCTGAACGCCCCCTAACTGCTCCCCTGCCAGCCTAATTGCCCCTAACTGCCCTCCCCTGCCTCCCTCATCACCCCTAACTGCCTCTGCCTCAGCCCTTGCCACCATGGCTTTGTCCGGAAAATGTCCGGTCTAATTAGCATATTACCCTTTTATTAGTATAGATTTATTGGAGGTGATATTAGTTAATAAAATTTATAGGCTTCAAATGTAAAATTCCCTAATATATCATCTGTGTATTTGATTGTGTGTTTACAACCCAAAGTCAAATCTCCTGTCACCATTTATTTGACACCCTTCACCCATTACTACCTTCTCACCCCTCTTCCCTCTGGTAACCACCATACTGTTGTCTGTGTCTATAAAACCAATCTTTAGATTTCTTCATGTCTTTACATTTTTCTCTCATGTAATCTGCCCCTTTAAAATTTTTGTTCTAGCCGAAACCGGTTTGGCTCAGTGGATTGAGCGTCGGTCTGCAGACTAAAAGGTCCCAGGTTCGATTCCGGTCAGGGGCATGTACATTGGTTGCAGGCACATTACTGGTGTGGGGTGTGCAGGAGGCAGCTGGTCGATGTCTCTCTCATCGGTGTTTCTAGCTCTCTATCTTTCTCCTCTCCCTACCTCTCTGTGAAAAATCAATAAATATATTTTTAAAAATTTTGCTCTAAGTTCTGACCATATTTCTCTACCGTATCTTCAAGTTTCCCAATTCTTTCTTTAGCAATGTCCATTTTATTATTCGACCCTTTGTCTAAAATGTACTTCAGCAATATTTTATTTTTTTAATATATTTTATTGATTTTTTTTTTTTTTTTTTTTTTTACAGAGAGGAAGAGAGAGGGATAGAGTTAGAAATATCGATGAGAGAATCATCGATCAGTTGCCTCTTGCACACTCCCTACTGGGGATGTGCCCACAACCAAGGTACATGCACTTGACCAGAATCGAACCCAGGACCCTTCAGTCCGCAGGCCGACGCTCTATCCACTGAGCCAAACCGGTTTCGGCTTCAGCAATATTTTAAATTTTCAAACACTCTTTCCTGATCTCTCATTGCTCTTTCCCCATGTTTTCTTGTTTCATGAAAATCTCCAACATTCCTTAATCCTTGGTTGCTGTGCAGGGAACGGTTAACTGACCGGGGACTAGGAATATCCAGCCCGGCACAGTCCAAAGGAAGCACTGGCCCTTGAGCAGCTCCAGGAAATGGCCCCTGAGACCTGGCATGTCCTGTCTGAAGAATCCCTTGTGCCATGGAGTCGGTGCCACAGCAGAGAGCTGATGCCAACAAGATGGTGCATGGTGGGGCTGTGGGGCACATTTTGTCAGCTGGCCCTCTGGACCTGCTGGGGCCTGAGCATAAAGGTCACCTCCATGGGCACTCCACGCCCCTGTGCCGGGAGCCCATAAACACCTCAGGTGAGCTTCCCAGGCTGGCAGTGCTTCACGTGTGCTGTCACACGCCGTTGCCGGGAGAAGCGAGCACTGCCCACCGAGAGGACAGAGGACGCCACCCGTCTCTCCCGGACCCCGTCCTCTGTGCATTTGTTGATGTTACTGGGAGCCGTTCGCTGCAGGGAACCGTCACCAGGAGTAGGACAGCTCTTCTGGGTTCGGTGGTTCCTTCTCGGGAACCGCTGGCTCTGAAGGGGGTGCGTGGGCCCGGCTGGACGTCCATTCATGTCGGTGAGGGGAGGGCCATGGTGCCCACAGGAAGGGAAAGCTGCCTGTGGACGCTGAGGGGTTAGCTGGGGCCTGTTGCCCAGTGGCACGCAGAGTGGGAGGCGAAGAGCTCTGTAGCAGACGGAGTCAGGCCAGCTTTTTTTTTTTTTTAATATATTTTATTGATTTTTTATAGAGAGGAAGAGAGAAGGGTAGAGAGTTAGAAACATCAATGAGAGAGAAACACTGAACAGCTGCCTCCTGCACACCTTTTAGTGGGGATGTGCCCGCAACCAAGGTACATGCCCTTGACCGGAATCGAACCTGGGACCTTTCAGTCCGCAGGCCGACGCTCTACCACTGAGCCAAACCGGTCAGGGCCCGGCCAGCTTTTGGATCCTGTGTCACTGTGAACAGAGGTGCACAGTGCTAGGGCCACAATGAGGACATGTTAGTGTGCTTTCATGGAGTCAAGATCCTTCCTCGAAGGAAAGATGGGTAGAAAAGGGGGCAGCCAAGGGGGCAGCCAGGATCCCAGCGTTCAGGCAGGAAAGGGATTTTTTGGGGGGAGAGGAGCGTTCACTAGTTCCTGGGTCATATCAAGAGGTGTAGTTGGGGACCCCGCCCCAGGAGGAACTGAAAGCTAGGGCGCCGTGAAGTCTGATGCCCCCCAAAGCCCGCGGAGCCAGAGAGGTCCAGACGGGAGAAGGCGGGAGAAGGCGGCGCGAGGGTCGCTGTTGCTCCTTCCCCACCAGGGGGCGCCCCGGAGCCCGCAGACGCGGCGGGGGGCGTCGGGCCGCGGGGACAGGAGGCATGGGCGCTGGCGTCGCGGTGCTGCTGCTGGTGCAGCTGCTGGCGAGGGTCGAACTGGAAAAGCAGGGTGAGCTCGGGCCGGAGCCAGGGGGTCCGGGGGCGGGAGGATGGGGAGCGTGGGGGCCGGGGGGAGCTCACCTTCCCGCCTCACCCCAGGGCTGCAGGATCGGAACCGGCTGCTTTCAGGTGAGGCGCCCAAGATGTGCGTCCCCCCGCCCGGGCCCCGCGGCCAGGACGCACAGGCGCCATCTCTCCTCTTTCCCTCTCTCCCGCCCAGGAGTCAAGAACTCGTCGTGGCTGACGCGTAACTAACGGGCCCCGGGGGCGGGGCGAGGGCGGGGCCTGCAGGGCGGGGGCGGGTCCCTGCGCCCCCTCCTCCTCCCGGGGTTTCCCGGGGGCGGGGCGAGGGGCGTCCCCCGCGGCTCAGCCGTGTCCGTCTGTCCGCCCAGAGCCCTGCGGCCGCCCGGCCGTGCACGCGCGCATCGTGGGCGGAACGGACGCGGCGCGCGGGCGCTGGCCGTGGCAGGTGAGCCTGCGGCTCCGCCACCAGGGCCACCGCTGCGGCGGCAGCCTGCTCGGCCGGCGCTGGGTGCTGTCGGCGGCGCACTGCTTCCGGAAGTGAGTCCGCGGCTCCGCGCAATGTGAAGTCTGCAAATGCAAAGACCCTGCCGGGACCCCCCTGGTCCCCTGAGCCCCGGGCCCCGCTGCTGCAGCCGCTCACACTCGCGGGAGCCCCGATGGTGCCGCTGCAGAGAGCGCTTCAGTTTCTCCCCTAGAAGGGTCTTCAGAACATTCCCCGGGCACATGTGTGTGTGCCTGGTTCCTTTCTCTGCTTGTTCTCTTTTCCCCAAATGGCATTGCTAACCTTCACCCCCCTCCCCGCCCGCTCCCAGGGGAGGTGAGCCGCAGGTGGGAGGAATGAGCGAGGTGGGTGAGTGCGCACAGAGCCTCGCCTGTGGCCACAGTGGCCCCTGGGGCTGCTTTCACTCCGCTCTGCTGAGCATCCCACTTTGGCATTTGTGCATCTGCTCACTCATTTTTAAAAAAATTTTTTATTGACTTTTTTACAGAGAGGAAGGGAGGGGGATAGAGAGTTAGAAACATCCATGAGAGAGAAACATCGATCAGCTGCCTCCTGCACACCACCCACTGGGGATGTGCCCACAACCAAGGTACATGCCCTTGACCGGAATCCAACCTGGACCCCCTCAGTCCACAGGCCAAGGCTCCATCCACTGAGCCAAACCAGTTAGGGCTCACTCATGTTTTTTAGGATGGTTCTGAGGGGTGACAGGCTAGTTGAGTGACTGGCCAGTCAGACCACAGGGGGAGGCACCCTTCTGTCCTAGTCCCAGCCCCGGTCTCTGGGCTCTGGGGCTTTGGTTGCAGGCTCCCTGGGCTCCGCCATTTCCTCGCCGGACACTGTCCTGTGAGGGGGGCTGCTCCTGGTGTCCAGCATGGGCCTTCGTAGCACCTGGGCGGTCTCCCCTCCGAGGCGGCCCCAGGTGCCCACACTTCGCTAAAGACGCCTAACGGAACCCGGCCGGCGTGGCTCAGTGGTTGAACGTTGTTGACCTATGAACCAGGAGGTCATGGTTCGATTCCCAGTCAGAACACGAGCTTGGGTTGCGGGCTCTATCGCCAATGGAGAGCTTGCAGGAGGCAGCCGATCAATGATTCTCTCATCACTGATATTTCCATCTCTCTCTCCCCCTGTCCTTTCCTCTCTGAAATGAATAAAAATATATTAAAAAATAAAAAGACCTCTAACTGCTCTCTCCTCCCCTGTCAGATACAGCAATCCGTCGAATTGGATGGCCCAGTTCGGCGAGCTGTCCTCCCGCCCATCTCTCTGGAACCTGGGGGTCATCTTCCAGCGCTTCAGAGTGCAGGACATCATCGCGTACCCGCATGTGAAGGAGTCTTCGCTCGGCGACATTGCCTTGCTGAAGCTGACCTCCTCTGTCACCTACAACAAGTACATCCAGCCCGTCTGTGTTATGGCCTCCACCTTCGAGTTCCAGAACAAGAGTAACTGCTGGGTGACCGGCTGGGGGGACATCCGTGAGAATAAAAGTGAGATGGGGGACGGATGGGTGGGAAAGAGGGGGCATTATCCTCCTTTCCCAGCCACACAGCCCCGACCGTGGCCTGGGTGCGCAGGGCCCCTCTGTGGGCCTGGTCAGCATTCTCTCCCCACTGCTGTCCATCCTCCTCCCCCTGAAAGGGCAGGGCTTTCTGTGCCCACTCAGCCCCTGGTCCTCCCCAGAGACGGTGAGCCAGAGCCAGCACTGAGAGAGGACCGGCTCCCCCCAGGCCGAATTGCTCAACCTGCAGGGGACTGGAGTTTGGGGGGTGGAGTTTTCAGTTGGCTTTTTTTATAACTGAGATTTAATTCACAAAGCATGAAATTCGCCATTTTAAAGCACATACAATTCAGTGGGGGGTTAGTGTACTCACAGGTTGCACCAACATCGCCACCTAATTGCAGAATATTTTTATCATCTCAAAATGAAACCCCATAACCAATAAACAGTCACCTCTCCCCCATAACCTACTCCCTCCAGCCCTTAGCAGCCACTAACTAGATTTTTTAAAAAAAATATCTATGTTTTTATTGAGTTGAGAGAGAAGAAGGGTAAGGGACAGAGAGAAACATCAATCAGCTGCCTTCTGCACATCCCCTACTGGGGATCGAGCCCGAAACGCAGGTATGTGCCCTGACCAGGAAGCTAATCAGTGACCTCCTGGCTTATGGGCCATCGCTCAATGACTGAGTCGCACCAGCTGAGCCATGAACCAGCTTTTTACCTCTATGGATTATGGATATTTTATACTATAAAATTTATAGAAATGGAATCATACAACATATGACATTTTGTGTCTGGTTTCTTTCAATGAGCATACTGTTTTTAAGGTTTATATAACATGAAATCAGAACTTCATTCCCTTTATGGCTGAATAATATTCCATTGTATGGGTAAATCATATTTATTTCTTCTTTTTAAATATATGTTATTGATTTTTCAAATATATATATTTTATTGATTTTTTACAGAGAGGAAGAGAGAGGGAAGAGAGTTAGAAACATCGATGAGAGAGAATCATTAATCAGCTGCCTCTTGCACAACCCCTACTGGGGGTGTGCCTGCAACCAAGGTACATGCCCTTGATCGGAATCGAACCTGGGACCTTTCAAACCGGTTCTGGCTCATTGTGGTTTTGATTTGCATTTCTTTAATGACTAGTTATGTTGAGCATCATTACATGTGTGTGATGGCCATTTGTATATCTTTTTTAAAGAAATATTTAAGTCCTTTACCTATTTTAAAATTGAGTTATCTTTGTTGTTATTGTAATCATTTTTTATATAGGTCTAGCTCAGTGGACAGAGTGTTGTCCTATGGACTAAAGGTCCCATACATTCTGGACCTTTATCAGGTATATGATTTGAAAACATTTTCTATAATCCTGGAGGTTTCTTTTCACTTTCTTGATAGTGTCTTTTGATGCACAATTTAAATTTTTTTATGAAGTCCAAATTATGTTTTTCTTTTGTTGTTTGTGCTTTTGAAGTCACATCTAAGAAACATTGGAAAATACAAGATCATGAAGATTTACCTCTACATTTTCTTTTAAAGTCTTATTTTTTTAGTGCTTATATTTATATCTTTGATCCATTCTGAGTTTATTTTCACTGTGGTATGAAGTAGGAGGCCAGCTTCATTCTTTTTCATTGTTAATTCTCACCCCAGGATATCTTTCCATTGATTTTTTTTTTTTTTTTTTTTTTTTTTTTTTTTTTTTTTTTTTTTTTTTTTTTTTTTTTTTTTTATAGAGAGAGAGTGGAAGGGAGGGAGGAGGGGAAGAAGAGAGAAACATCAATGTGAGAGAGACACATCGATTGGTTGCCTCCCACATGTACCCTGACAAGAGCAGGGCTCGAACCTGCAACCCAGGTACATGCCCTTGACTAGGAATCGAACCCATGACCCTTCTGTGGGCAGGATGACACTCTCACCACTGGGAAACACTGGCCAGGGCCCACCTTCATTCTTTTGCATGTGCATACAGTATTCAGTTATGCAAGCACTGTTTGTCGAAGAGATTGTTCTGTCCTCCATTGAATTGTCTTGGCACCTTTGTCAGAAGCGGGTTTACCATAGATGTATAGATTTATTTTTAGACTCACAATTGTAGTCCACTGGTCTGTATGTTTATCCTTGTGCCAGGATTTCATTGTTGATTCCTTTAGCTTTACAGCATGTTTTAAAATTTGGCAGTGTGAGTCCTCCAACTTGTTCCACTTTTTTTTTTTCTTTTTAGTTGGGCAGGATCTTCTTTGTTTAATCCTCACCCGAGAACATGTTTATTGATTTTGAGAGAGAAAGAGAAACAATGTGAGAGATTGGTTGCCTCCCACACATGCCCTAACAGGGGCCAGGGATTGAGCCTGCAACCCAGGCATATGCTTTTGACTGGGAATCAAACCTGAGACCTTTTGGTGTGTGGGCCAGCACTCTAACCACTGAGCAACACTGGCCAGGGCTTGTACCAGTGCTCTCCATTTCTTCCTATGAGTTTAAGTTACTGATTAGTGTCCTTTCATTTCAGCCGGAAGGGTCCCCTTTCCCATTTCTCATTGGGTAGATCCAAGTGTGAATCCTCTCAGCATTTGTTTATCTGGAAGTGTCTTAACTTCTTTATTCTCTGAGGGATAGTTTTGCCTGATAAAGAATTCTTGATTAACTATTCTTTCCACACTTTAAATATGTCCTCCTAGCCCTAGCCGGTCTAGCTCAGTGGACAGAGTGTTGTCCTATGGACTAACGGGTCCCAGGTTTGAATAGGGTTAAGGACACATGCCCAGGTTGCAGGCTCAATATCCAGAAGGAGGTGTGCAGGAGGCAGCCAATTAATGATTCTCTCTCATCATTGATGTTTATATCTCTCTGAAATCAATAAAAATGTATTTTATTTTATTTTATTTTTTTAAATATATATTTTATTGATTTTTCACAGAGAGGAAGAGAGGGGAATAGATAGTTAGAAACATCGATGAGAGAGAATCATCGACCAGCTGCCTCCTGCACACCCCCTACTGGGGACGTGCCTGCAACTCAGGTACATGCCCTTGACTGGAATCGAACCCGGGACCTTTCAGTCCGCAGGCCGACGCTCTATCCACTGAGCCAAACCGGTCCCGGCAATAAAAATGTATTTTAAATAAATAAATAAATGTTTTAAAAAGAACAATGGGCCTTGCCCTGTTGGTGTGGGTCAGTGGTTGAGTGTCGTCTATGACCCAGGAGGTCACGGTTGGATTCCCAGTCAGGGCACATGCCCGGTTGTGGGCTCAATTGCCAGCAGGAGCATGCAGGAGACAGTGATCAGTTTTTCTCTCTCATCATTGATGTTTCTATCTCTGTCCTTCCTCTCTCTGAATCAATAAATCAAAATTATTTTTTTAAAAAGCCAGTTTGGCTCATTGAATAGAGCGGCAGCCTGCAGACCAAAGGGTCCTTGGTTTGATTCTGGTCAAGGGCAGGTACCTTGGTTGCAGGCTCCTCCCCAGCCTGGGCCCTGGTCAGGGTGCATGCAGGAGGCAACCAATTGATGTGTTTCTCTCATATTGATGTTTCTCTCTGTCTTTCCCTCTCTTCCATTCTCCCTAAAAAAAAAAAAAAAAAAAAAAAAAAAAAAAAAAATCAATGAAAAAATATCCTCAGTGAGGATAAACAACTATATATATATATATATATATATATATATATATATATATATATAATTGATTTTTTGCCGAAACCAGTTTGGCTCAGTGGATAGATCGTCGGTCTGCGGACTGAAAGGTCCCAGGTTCGATTCCGGTCAAAGGCATGTACCTTGGTTGCGGGCACATCCCCAGTAGGGGGTGTGCAGGAGGCAGCTGGTCGATGTTTCTCTCTCATCGACATTTCTAGCTCTCTATCCTTCTCCCTTTCTCTCTGTGGAAAATCAATAAAATATATTTTTTTAAATTGATTTTTTTACAGAGAGAAAGGGAGAGGGATAGAGAGCTAGAAATGTCGATGAGAGAGAAACATCGACCAGCTGCCTCCTGCACACTCCCTACTGGGGATGTGCCCGCAACCAAGGTACATGCCCTTGACTGGAATCATACCTGGGACCTTTCAGTCTGCAGGTCGACGCTCTATCCACTGAGCCAGACCGGTTTCAGTTTTTGTGTGTATCTTTTTAGAAAAGACCAATGGCCCAGCGCTGGCCGGTGTCACTCAGTTGATTGAGCATCATCCCATGCACCTGTGGCCAGTTCAATTCCTGGTCAGGGCACATACCAGGATTGCAGGTTCAATCCCCAGTAGGGGGCGTGCAAGAGGCAGCCAATGGATGTTTCTCACATCAATCTCTTTCCCTCTCCCTAAAAAAAATCAATAAAAACCTTTTTGTTTTTTAAAGAACAATGGCCCAGCCCTAGCTGATTTGGCTCAGTGGATAGAGCCTAGGCCTGCAGACTGGGGGGTTTCCAGGTTCGATTCCAGTCAAAGACACATGCCTGGGTTGTGGGCTCAATCCCCAGTGGGGGGCGTTCAGGAGGCAGCCGATCAATGACTCTCTCTCATCATTGATGTTTCTACCTCTCCCTCTTCCTTCCTCTCTGAAATCAATAATAATAGTATTTAAATATTTAAAAAAGAAAGACAGTAAGAAAGAAAAAAAAGGAAGGAAGGAAGGAAGGAAGGAAGGAAGGAAGGAAGGAAGGAAGGAAGGAAGGAAGGAGGAAGGAAGGAAGGAAGGAAGGAAGGAAGGAAGGAAGGAAGGAAGAAAGAAAGAAAGAAAGAAAGAAAGAAAGAAAGAAAGAAAGAAAGAAAGAAAGAAAGAAAGAAAGAAAGAAAGAAAGAAAGAAAGAAAACAATGGCCCAGGGTCTCTGTTCCCATAGCCCATATCATTCCTTCCAACCTGATGGTGGAGGAGAGGCTCAGGATGCTACTGTCTTTCTCTGTTTCCTCAACTCCTATGCAGAGCTGCCGGTTCCTTACACCCTCCAGGAAGTTCAGGTCTCCATCATCAACAACTCCAGGTGTAATTTCCTGTTCCAACAGCCCAACTTCTTGTATAGAATGGCAGATGATGTGATCTGTGCTGGCTCCGAGGATGGCAAACATGACTCCTGCGGAGTGAGTGCCCCTGCCCCAGTCAGAGCCTCGCTGGAAACGGGCACCACCCCTCTCAACCTTGGCCTGAGAGCAACCCCCCCACAACACCCCATGACCAACCTACCCTCAGAGGTGATTAATGAGAAAGTGATTTCGCCCTTACTTACCCCGCCTATCAAAGCTCGTTTGTCCTTGATAGTGTCTCTTTGGGACCTCACGTGAGCAGTGTTTGCCCCCCTTTGCAGATGTGAAGGCTGAGGCGTGGTCACTTCCAGGGGGAGGAGTAGGATTTGCTCTTAGTTTGCCCAGCTCCATAGCCCCTCCCTAGTCTGGGGTCTCCCTACGGGCCCCTCCTGCCCAGGCCAGGCTCACCTCTGCTGCTCCCCAGGGTGACTCAGGTGGACCCTTGACCTGTGAAAAGAATGGACTGTGGATTCAGATTGGAATCGTGAGCTGGGGAGTGGGCTGTGGTAGGCCAAACCGACCCGGCATCTACACCAACATCAGTAGATACTTCAGCTGGATCCAGAAGCTCATGGGCCACAGCACTAGGACAGACCCCTCCCCACTCCTGCTGCTCCTCTCTCTGCTCTGGGCAGCCCCGCTCGTGCAGCTGGCCTGTGTGCCCTGACCAGGCCCAGGCACGTTTACCCAGGGCTGTGGGCACGCCTGGACTGCCTGCCGACCAGGCTCTGGTCGCCTTCTGGCTCCTTTGCTAATAAATGTGTGCATTTTCACTGATTCCTTGCAGTGTTTTGTGGACCTGGACCCTCTCATAGTCCCTTATGTCCCGTCTTCTCCAAGACCACTCCCTAAGTCCCGGTTCCTTCTCTGCTTGTCTGTACTACACATGTTTTGTAACCCTCACAGGTTGGTTCAATCAGAAAGAATTGGTGTCTTGTCTGCACTACACATGTTTTGTAACCCTCACAGGTTGGTTCAATCAGAAAGAATTGGTGGCCGAAACCGGTTTGGCTCAGTGGATAGAGCCTCAGCCTGCGATCTGAAAGGTCCAGGTTCGATTCCGGCCAAGGACATGTACCTTGGTGGCAGGCGCATCCCCAGTAGAGGGTGTGCAAGAGGCAGCTGATTGATGACTCTCTCTCATCGATGTTTCTAACTCTCTATCCCTCTCTCTTCCTCTCTGTAAAAAAAAAAAATCAATAAAATATATTTTTAAAAATAATAAATAAATAAATAATGTAAAAAAATAAAAATAAAGTCCCGGTGAGGACGCCATGCCTAAGGAGCTGCTGCAGCACCAGACGGTGGCCTGGTGGAGGTGGGCAGCGCCCAGCTTGTCTGGCTCCTCACGGGTGTCCCAGAACATAGCCTCAGCACGACCAGGGATCGAGCCAGTAGGGCCCATGCAGGGGCGCCTGGAACTGCTCGGGCAGGTCTGCGTTGTCACAAGCTTCCCACGTGCTGAACTCAGGATGTGTGAGGAGCTGTGGATGGCCCACATTTCTTCCCTCGGTTCCCCACCGGACAGTTCCCGGCTGTGGAGAGGCAGGTGGGAGGTCTTCAGAGAGCAGGCCTTCCTGGTTTCTGCCCACACCTGCCAGCAGAGATCACACCCACTAGAATTTAAACACCCATCTCTGTCCCTGCCCTGGGGCAGCCCTGCGAGGCTGGATCTCCCTCCCCCCTGGCCGCAGTGAGGCAACTGACGCTCAGTGAGGGGACAGGACTGCTGGGGTCACCCAGCTCACAGGGGCCTGGGTCCAGAGAGCACTTGGCCAGGCCTGGGGTCTCGGCTCCATGTTGGGCCCGGCCAAGTCGGAACTTTGTGCCTGAGCAACCAGCCCTGTCGGCAGCCTGGGGCCTGGGTCAGGCTTGGGGGAGAGCTGCCAAGGATCCCCCGGAGCTTCCTGGCCTGACCGCAGCCCCCTCCTTCCCCCACCTCACTGCCCTCGCCTGGCTGGGCTCCTGCCCGCAGCTCCCAGCACCTTGGCCCAAGCCAGGCTTCTGTTGAGAACTGCAGGTGTCCCTTTCCTGCCACTTGGACATGCTGCTCAAAGCATCTTTGTTCGAGGCCTGACAGGTGAAGCCGCAGCCCCTCCCTGGTCTCCTTAATTTCCCAGGCCAGGCCCGCCTCTCCTGGCCTTTTAAGCCCCCACACACCCTGCCAGCCCAGTCAGCCGGGAGGGCTCGGGCTGTGAGAGTGAGCAGGTCCAGGGGCCAGCAGGGTGGGTGGGGGCAGCCGTTGGGCAATGGGAATAGAGGGTGGGGAAGGGGCTTGCCTGGAGGCTTAGGGTGCCCCTGGGCTCAAAGGGGCTGGGGGCGAGGGTGTTCGCTGGGGCCTGGCGGCAGGCAGAGCTGAGCCCTGGGCATAAGCCTGAGACAAGCCGGGGGCTGAGGGAAGACAGAATGGCCTCCGGGACACAAGTGCTCTGGGCTAGGACCCTCCTTCCTCTCTCCGCAGGCCCCTACGAGAGTCTAAGCCCCGGGCAGGGCCTCCTGTACCCCGCACAGTCCTACAGACAGAATGCGGGGGGCTCCCCGCCTCCAGGCGCTGCTCCTGCTGCTTCGAGGTGAGTGTGGGGCAGGGGTTCCGGTGCGGACCACAGGGATCTCGGCCTCCAGATGTCCCATCTCCCACTCGTTGGCCTGGCTCCCGTAGTGCACAGCAGGGCAATCTAATCTCGGCTTCAAGGTTTCAAGTTCCCTCTGTCCCTGACCTTGGGCTCTCCAAACCTGGAGGTGCTGTCTTCACAAAGGGCATAAGTCCCTTTGGGGGAAGTTAAATTGGATAACCGGTTGGACAAAATCCCTGCACCGAGTTAAGGCGACAAATACGTCCCACCTTCCTTCCTTATCTGTAACCTCCCTTCCTCTCAGTCCGTTATCTGACACCAAATTCATAATCCAGTGCCTTCCCTCCTTCCTCTTCCAGGCGTGGCTGGGACGCTGGAGTCTGCAGGTTGGGAAGCCTCAGGTCCCTCTCCCCACCCCACCCCCGTCCCTCCCACCCCCGGAGTCCACCCCCACCCAACCCAACCCCCTTCCCGAGCCTCCGGTCCCCCGCCCACCCTCGCCGCCCTGTCCTCCCGCAGCCTGCGGGCAGCCCCGCGTGTCCAGCCGGATTGTAGGGGGCCGGGACGCGCGGGCCGGAGAGTGGCCGTGGCAGGCGAGCGTCCAGCGCCGCGGGGCGCACGTGTGCGGGGGCGCGCTGGTCGCCCCGCAGTGGGTGCTGACGGCGGCGCACTGCCTCCGGAGGTCAGCGGCCCCCCAGGCTCCGCTCCGCTCTGGGACAAGGGGATGGGGGCCGGGATGCGGGTGCGGGGGGCAGTGCGACTCCACCTGGCGGAGGCGCGGGGCCTGGGGGGCCTGGGGAGCGGGGGACCCCGGTAGGTAACCCGCTCCTGTCCGCAGGCAGGCGCCCGTGTCCGAGTACCGCGTGCTCCTCGGGGCGCTGCGCCTGGGCTGGGCCTCGCCCCGCGCGCTCTCGGTGCCGGTGCGGAGGGCGCTGCTGCACCCCGACTTCTCCGAGGACGGGGCCCGCGGGGACCTGGCGCTGCTCCAGCTGCGCCGCCCCGCGCCCCTGAGCGCCCGCGTCCAGCCGGTGTGCCTGCCCGAGCCCGGGGCCCGCCCGCCCCCCGGGGCTCCGTGCTGGGTCACCGGCTGGGGCAGCCTCCGCCCGGGAGGTGAGGCGGAGGGCGGGGCGCGGGGCACGGGGGCGGAGGAGGGGGCGCATCCCCTTCCTCCTTCCTCTGACCGGGAACCCCTCCCACCGCGGCTTCAATCTGGGAATCCCCAAACCCTCCCAGTCCTGGCAGGTTAGGTTCTCAGGTGAGGCTTCTTCCCGCCACCGCACCCCCTCTCCTCGCTCCTCTCTCACAAGCCCCCTTTGCCCCCCACCCCCCAGTGTCACTCCCGGCGTGGCGGCCTCTCCAGGGAGTCAGGGTGCCCTTGGTGGACGCGGGCACCTGTGACCGCCTCTACCACGTGGGCACCAGCGTGCCCCGGGCCCAGCAAATAGTGCTGCCAGGGAACCTGTGCGCCGGCTACCCCCAGGGCCGCAAGGATGCCTGCCAGGTGCGTGGAGCTGCCTCGAGCCGCTGAGTCCGTGCTCCTGTGCCTGGCACCCTCCCTCCCTGGAGCCCAGGACCGAGGAGGTGCCACCTCCAGGGTCCGCATCCTGGCTCCCAGCCCAGATGTACCCCCTGGGGGACGGGAGCCCCGGGACTACCGTCATAGTCTTCAGAGCTCTGGGGCCTGAGCTTTCCTTTCTCCCACAGGGTGACTCTGGGGGACCCCTGACCTGCTTGGAGTCTGGGCGCTGGGTCCTGGTGGGCGTGGTGAGCTGGGGCAAGGGCTGTGCTCTGCCCTACCGGCCGGGCGTCTATACCAATGTCGCCACGTACAGCAGCTGGATCCAGGCTCGCCTTGGCCACTGATGTGGCGACCCCTCAGCTACTTGGTCCCTCCGGGGACCTGTCCATCCCCCAGCCCTACCACTTCCGACTTGAGGCTCGGAGGCCTGATAAAGCTAAGGAGCCATCTCTCCATCCATCAGTCCATCCCCTGCCTTCCTTGGGGCTCACCAAGCCTGAGCTGCCAGCCCCACCCCAGCATCCTCCCATCTGTGGGGTCTCATGCTCCTCCTTTCCGTTCCTGCTCACTTACCCTCCTCAGCTCCAGCCAAGGCTGGGCCTGGGCATCCAGAGTCGGTAAGTGGCATTTCCGGTTGGGCCTGTGTGCCCCTGTCTCTGGAGGAATCAGGGAGGTTCAAAGTGTAGAGGGATTCGGCATCACGAAGATGGTTCTTCACCGCTAGCTCGGAAGATGGGAAGGGGGTCCCACAGCCAGGAACGACAAGCAGCCTCCGTCAGAGAAAGGGACATCTCAGCACGCTGACTGGAAGGGAACCAAACCTGGACACCTTGCCCAAGCACGGAGGTGAATCCTTCCCCCGGCCTCCAACGACAGTCCTCTAGGCCACGCTCTTGACTTGGGCCTGGTGAGACCCAGCTGAGCCCGGCCGGACTTCTGGCCCACGGAGCCAAGACTTAGTAAATGTGTGTTTAAAGCCGCTGTGTTTGTGGTCACTGGTTACACAACAATAGGGAATGAATCTAGATTTTGCCCCATCACCGTGAAGATGCCTGGGGGCAGGGTGGACCTCCACCAGCTCAGGAGTCTGGACGGCCTGGCATCATGCTCTCTGCCCAAAGGGAGCCAGGAGCCCCCAGGCAGGCCTGGCTGGCGTTTCTGCTGTTGTTTCTGTCATTACCCCACCCAGGCCCTGGGGGAGTCTGGGGCTGGGTCCTTGCCTTACACAGAACCCCCACACCCAGGACCCCCGACACCAAATCTGGAGACAGGCTTAGACCCTGTACAGCTCCCTTCCCACCTTCATGTAGCCAAGGACACCCGTTCAGTAGATAGAGCTCAGTTTCCAGAGCTGCAGGGAGAACAAGAAACTGAACAAGCTGAAACGGTTTGGCTCAGTGGTAGAGCGTCGGTCTGCGGACTGAAAGGTCCCGGGTTCGATTCTGGTCAAGAGCATGTACCTTGGTTACGGGCACATCCCCGGCAGGGGGTGTGCAAGAGGCAGCTGGTCGATGTTTCTCTCTCATCGACATTTCTAGCTCTCTATCTCTCTCCCTTCCTCTCTGTAAAAAAAAAAAAATCAATAAAATATATTTTTAAAAAAAGAAAGAAAAAAAAAAAGAAACTGAACAAAACCTGGGAAATCCAAAGCCTAATCTTTGGAGTTGACAGCAGCAGTCGGTGAAGAGTTAACAGGAAGGCCATCAAAGGTGCAGCCTGGTGGGGCAGGCCAGGCTGCTGCTCCCACAGAGGCCTAAGCCTTGTCTCCTTCCTTTTCTCCCAGGAGAGGAAGTGGCTACATCAGGTGGTCCCTGCAGGGTTGCTGTAGGCCAGGCCAGTGTGCATCTACGGACCGGACCGGGGCAGCAGGGAACTCCAGGCTGCTCTTTCCCCCAGTGTGAGGACCGTCCATCTGGGGTGGGGCTTGGCTATTTCTTGGGGGTCTAGGATGCCCAGAACAGGGCATGGCTGTGGCAGACCAGCCTGCAAAAGGCTGTGGTCACATCCGTGGTGGAACCAAAGGACTCCTGTGGAGTGAAGTTGGCCATTCTCCCAGTTCTTCCTCAGTCTGAAGCCAGCCAAGGGCTGCCTCCCAAAGCGCTGAGGTGGAAACGAGCCTGGGGCTGGAGCCAGGGCTCCTCAGCCTTGGACCTGCTGTGATTTTAGTAATCGGTTCCCATTCAGAGTCCAGTGTTTCTGAAATGCAACCTGGAAGCAGGGTAGGGGCAGGATCTGGACAGGGAAGGGAAGGGCCAGTGAATGGGCAATGCTACTCCTGGGCAGGCTCTTACCAGGAATCTGGGCCACTGCAGAGGGCTTTACTGGACTCTCGGTGGGTTTTTCAGAGGCTTCCTGAGGTAGGTTTCCTTCCTCATTTGTCCGATGAGAAAACTGAGGCCTGAAGCCATGTAGCTGGTAGGTGATAGACTGGAATTTGAACCCAGGTGGTTTGATTGCAGGGGGAGCTGGGAATGGTAGCGTGGGGATTACTCCCTTTGCTGACTTCGCTTCTTCCTACGCTGCTATTGTGGCCTCCCAGCTCCATTCTTCTTGGCCTGTTCCTGGTGTGGCAGCCTTGTGGGGCTGGGCAAGTTGCAGCACTTTTCAGCCTGGCAGGCTCACTGGCACAGCAGCCTGTACTGCAACATCCTGTCAGCAAGGTCAGTGTGTGTGGGCGGGGGGAGGGTGCTAGTCTCTTGCCGAGGTAGGTATTTTCTAGTTGCCCACCTACTCCTGTCTGTGGTGCTACAACCGGATGGCCTTGTCTCTCCCACTACTGACTCAGCCTCATTTCCGCACTCTAATCTGAACTGGTAACAACGGCCTTATCAAGGCTGCTGGGAGAATCAAGTTGACAGCTACAGCAACCATGGATTTGCCCACTGAGCATGTGTGCTGTGCCAGGCATGGGTGGGCTCTCTGGGTGTTTTCATTTCCCATTCCGTGGGTGAAAAACAGGCCCTGAGTGGTCAGTGACATGCCCTAAGGCTCACAGCGGGTAAGAGATGGAGCCAGAATTGAATGTGGGCAACCGACTCAAATTCCTTGTCACTTCCCTCATGGAGGTTAGTTAATTGTAAAATACTGCAAATGAGAGGCACACTAATAACTAGTGGTCATTTATTACTATTTATTAATCAATGTTAAAAAAAAAAAAAAAAAAAAAGACAGGAGGGGAAGGCCCACCAAGGCCAAGGTGCTGCAGGCTTACTTCGGAGGGTGCCTGTTGTGAGCGTTGGTAGTGGAGGCAAGGGAGCAGAGGGTCCAGGCCTTTCTGGGCTGAGAAGCAAGAGCAGCTGACTAGCCAACTCACCTTAAGATTTCCATTCTGTCATCACCTCTAGGAGGGAGGACATAGAGCACAGGGGTTGGGGGTTCTCCCCTGAAATTGTACCCCACCCCATTCCTACGTGTATGAAGTATCATTGCACTGAATGACAGGATGCCCACAGTTACCTCCCGCAAACAACCGACCAAGTGACACCCACCTGCCTCTGAAGGGAAGGACTCACTGCCTCTCCCAGGCCAGGTGACCTGAGACAGTTTCAACCAGACACATCACTACCGGAACCCTGGCATTGTGCTCTCTGTGCATTCGTTCATTAATGCTCCCAAATATCCCAGGGGGTCCAATTACATATTCTCTCTTCAAGGACAGAAAACAGGTGGAGGTTCAGTGCCTTGCCCAAGATCACACGTAATGGGCTGGGGCAGGAACTCGGTCTGCTGGAGGAGGCTGGGGACAGGCGTGATTCTCAGGGGATGGGATAGGAGCAAAGAGGGCTGTCCCACCCCCAGGCCTCCAGGGTGACTCATGGTGAACATTAGCTAAGATACCAGCTGGGCGGACAGGTCAGCTGTCCACAGGGTGGTCTGCAATACACCCAGCTCCAGAAAGATGTGCTCAGGCTGCATCTTTGGACATCATGGGTGGTGAGGGGACCTCTCCTGTCCCTGAACCCCAGGACTCTATCTGTACCTGCCTCATCCTGGGAGGCCTACTGGCTGCCTGCTTAGCCCTCCCCTCCTCCAATGCTCTGTTCACAAAGATGCTGATATTAAGGAAACTTTCAGGCTGGCCAAGGACTTGGCCTGACACTTCCTGACTCAGGGGATGAAGCTCAAGTGGATGTCAGCCTGGGCCTACCGTGCTAGCAGGGAGCCGCTGCTGCTTGGGGTCCAGGGAGGGAAGAGTCACAAGAGGTGAAGGGACTTCAGAGGACTTGTCCTCCCTGAGAAGGCAGGGAGGACAAGTCAAAAATAACTCGTTAGAGTTTAGGAAACATCTATTTCGTGCTATCTCTTGGAGAGGCTCTACAAACTTTACAAGCGGTTATTTTCTCATCTTGAAGGAGAGGAAAGTGGGTCCTGATGAGTGAGGTTAGCCGCCCGAAACTGCACAGTCAGCGCTGGAACCAGGACTCGTATCAGTTGATTTGAGCCCAGAGCCTGTGCAGCGAGCCACCAGCTTGACTCGGGGCCAGGGCAGCTGCTTCCGCCCACTCTCAAGAATTCTCACATTGCAGCCCCAACCACTGCAGAGCTCTGACAGCCAGCACCATCCACTGGCGCCTCTCTGGGTGCCAGGCACGGACTCTGACACACACACACACCAGTACTGACCCCAGGAGTGGTTAAGTGAAAGAAAAGCCTCTATCCCTTGCTCTAGTTAGTGTGACTGCAACTGGGAGTGACCCAGGACTGTGCCCAGCACTGAAGGAAGCCTGTGGGTGAGGGCAGCCCCGCAGAAAGGCAGCTAGCCAGGGAATAAGTCTAGAGGCCACACAGGAGCCCAAGTGGACCTGGGCAGGAGGCTGGCGGGTGCCCAAGGCCCCTGGGGCCAGGGACCTCCCCTTCTCTGCTCCAGGCCCAACTCCCTGGCACCACCAGCAGCTTCCCAGGGTCATTCCAGGCCATAAAGCTCCTGTGACCTGAAAGAAACAGACTTACAACCTAAGGCTGGGGCAGGGAAGTGTGGGCAGTCCTCCTATATGGAGGCAGGAGGTCCAGAATTTAAAACCTCCTCAAAATGGCCGCCAGAGCCAAAACCGGTTTGGCTCAGTGGATAGAGTGTCAGCCTGTGGACTAGAGGGTCCCAGGGTTCGATTCCGGTCAAGGGCATGTACCTTGGTTGCAGGCACATCCCCAGTGGGGGGTAGGGGGGTGTCAAGGAGGCAGCTGATCGATATTTCTCTCTCATTGATGTTTCTAACTATCTCTCTCCCTTCCTCTCTGCAAAAAATCAATAAAATGTATTTTTTTTTTAAATGGTCGCCAGAAAGCCCTTGGAATCATGAGTCAGGCCCCTCAATATGGCAGCCAGGTCTCACTGAGATGCTAATATTTGCCTCCCCAATGACCAAGAAGAATATCATTTATTCACTCTTCCTGGAGGTGGGCGCACTAGAGGCTCTGAAGCTGGGGGTCCAGCCCGGGACTCCCTCTCACTGATTAAGACCGGGACCTGGTGCCCAGACCGTTTGGCTCCATGGATAGAGCTGAAGGACATGTCCCGTGGTTGCAGGCTCGATCCCCGGTAGGGGGCGTGCAAGAGGCAGCTGATCCATGTTTCTCTTTCATCCATGTTTCTACCTCTCTATCCCTCTCCCTTCCTCTCTGTAAAAAATCAATAATAAGTAAATAAATAAATAAATAAATGATAGGGACCTCGCCACTCCCAAGATGGCGCCGTTTCCAACAACGTCCCTCCCGCATAGGATCGCTGCCGGACTCCCACCACTCCCCGCGACACCCCGGCCGAGACATCCTTCGCTACGGCGCCAAGATGGCGGCCGGCCATATGGTCTGAGTAATCCGCTTTCTGATCACTTAAAATGGCGGCCTCGGGGCGGGGCCTCCGGGCGCGGGGCACGCTGGGAGCCGGCGCGCGGGACGCCGGGAACGGGGCGGAGCGCGGCCGCGCCGGCGCGTCGAGTGGGAGAGGCAGCTGCTGCGATGGTGAGCGGGCGTGGGGGAGGGGCGCCGGGCTGGGGCCGGGGGCGGCGGGGGCCGCGGGCCGCGGGCCGCGCGGGGGGGTCAGGGGGGCCGGGTCCCCTGTTCATGCCGGCCCGCTGCCCCCAGGACGTTTTCCTTATGATCCGGCGCCACAAGACCACCATCTTCACGGACGCCAAGGAGTCGAGCACCGTGTTCGAGCTGAAGCGCATCGTCGAGGGTATTCTCAAGCGGCCGCCCGACGAGCAGCGGCTGTACAAGGTGCGGGGCCCCGCCGGTCCGGGGAGGGCGGGGGCCTGGCGGGGGCTGGGACCGGGGCGATCGCTGCCCGGAACCGCCTCCCCGCGCCTGGCCGGAGGCGCACGGAGGCGGCGTCGTTGATGTAAACAGTAGTGGACGCCGCGGGCTGAACCTCCCCCACGTGGGGCGGTGTTCGAACTCGGGGAGACGGAGCAGCGATAGCGTTCGCCCCACGCGAGGTCGCGGGGAGGGAGGGAGGGGATTAAAGCCGCGCGCCAGGCTCTGTGCTGAGCGCCGCGGGCCGGCGTCGCAGTCGCATCCGATCCCTACAACGGTCCCACCCGCGGCGACGTTCCGGCTCTTGACATCCCTGCTCTGTTGTTAAGGCAACGGGCTAGGCGAGTGGCCACTTAGGAGCCCAAGGTCATTGGCCCCGCCAGGATTTGATTCTGGATACCTTTCACCCTCCGCAGGCCCATCAGAATCACACTCACCCCCAGACACGCCATACAAAGCAATGGTATTTGGGTGACTCCGGTCCCACCAGCTCTTCACTGAACGGCTGTTACTCCCCAGCCTTGCTGTTGGGATAAAGCTCCCGCACCCCCACCCTTCCCTTCTTACAACCAACTGGTTATTTAGCAAGGATGGCTTGCGGTCTGGGTTTTCATTGGGGGAATCTGTGTGTCAGCCCCCGATTCAAGTCTCTGGGAGCACGAGGGCCTTCACCTAAGTGGCTGATACCTACCCGGGCTTCCCTGCCAAATGTACGCCATCCCTCTGAAATCTCCTGCTGGGAATCCCAGTAATTCCTATCTTACAGATAAGGAAACATCACGTCAAAAGGTTTACTTTGTCCAGGGCGGCAGAGCTGGGATTCAAACCATGGCTTGCCTGTGGCCAGATTGAGTAGCTGGCTCTTAAGATTAGATTCGCCAGGAGTTTGGAGAATAAACATTCCAGAGCCCCCACCTTGGGAGGTTCCAATTTGGAGAGACTTGACTGGAGCCCTGGAAACTTGGATGAACTCTGTCCTGGGCCCTCCTGTGGGCTGTCTCTCTACCCTTTCTGACGCCCGCTGTAGTTGTTGACCAGAGAAGTCTTTGGGACTTGACCCTCCTGGGGCCTCTCCTGAAACCCTGCCTGCCTCTCTCCTCAGGATGACCAGCTTCTGGATGACAGCAAGACCCTGGGCGAGTGTGGCTTCACCAGTCAAACAGCGAGGCCACAGGCTCCAGCCACTGTGGGGCTGGCCTTCCGGGCAGGTGAGAGGGGCAGCCAAGCCAGCCAGGGTTGAACAGCCAAAGTTAGGGGGTCATCAGGGAGCCTGCAATTATTCTTCCAGGACAGTGTTTTCCCAGCCCACAAACATCAGGCAATATCCGGCGACTGTATTTGTTACCCCACAAACAAGACGCTTGTAGAAACTGGAACCTATTTCGTGAAGGATTCCAAGGTCCCTATTCATGACACCAGTTTATATTTACAGGGGGCTTTCTTTGCCTTTCCTTTTCTTAATTCCCACCCCCCTACTCTTCTCTCCCTTTGGCAACCATCAGCTTATCTGTGGGTCTGTTTTATTGCATTTATTCATTTGTTTTGTTTTTTAGATCCCACATATGAGTGAAATTATAAGGCATTTGTTTTTCTCTGTCTGACTTCATTTAGCATGATATCCTCTAGGTCCATCCATGTTATGGCAAATGGCCAAATTTCATTCTTTTTTTATTGCTGAATAAAATTCCATCGTGTGTGTGTGTGTGTGTGTGTGTCCACACACACACACACACTGTAGGTCATGTCCATATCTTGGCTATTATTAGTAATGCTACAGCGAACAAAGAAGCGCATATAATTTCTTTTCAAATTAGTGTTTTTGTTTTCCTTGAATAAATATCCAGAAGTGTAATTGCTTGGTCAATATGGTAGCTCTATTTTTAATTTTTTGAGGAATCTCCATACCGTTTCCTATAGTGGCTACACTAAGTTTACAGTCCCACCAACTGTATGAGGGTTCTTTTTTCTCTACTTCCCACCAGCACTTATTACTTGTTGATTTATTGATAGCATTCTCTGACAGTTGTGAGGTGATAGTTCATTGTGATTTAATTTGCATCATTAGTGATGTTGAGTGTCATGTTTGTTGGCCATCTGTATGTCCTCTTGGGAGAAATGTCTGTTCAGGTCCTCTGACCGTTTTATGTAATTGGATTGTTGTTTTTTTGGTGTTAAGTTGTATGAGTTCCTTATATACTTTGGATATTAACTCCTTACAGATGTGTCATTGGCAAATATCTTCTCATTCAGTAGGTTGTCTTTTCATTTTGCTGATCATATCGTTTGCAATGCAAAAATTAGTTAGTGTCGTAGTTCTATTTGTTAAGTTTTTCTTTTTTCTTAATGTATATATTTGATTTCAGAGAGGAAGAGAGAGGGAGACATAGAAACATCAATGATTGAGAGAATGTCACTGATTGACTGCCTCCTGCATGCCACCCTAACTGGGGATTGAGCCTGAAGCCCAGGCATGTGCCCTGACCTGGAATCAAACTGTGACCCTCTGGTTCAGAGGTTGACCTAACCACTGAGGCATGGCTGGGTGTAGCTTTGTGTTTTTGTTTTTTAAAAATATATATTTTTATTGATTTCAGAGAAGAAAGAAGGAAGAGAGAGAGAGACAGAGAGAGAGAGAGAGAGAGAGAGAGAGAGGGAGAGGGAGAGGGAGGGAGGGAGGAATGGGGTTGGGGGGAGAAAAGAGAAAATAAAATAAAGATAAATAGAAGAGAATCATTGATTGGCTGCCTCCTGCATGTCCTCCCCACTGGGGATTAAGCCCAAAAATCAGGAATTCAGTGGTGATCTCCTGGTTCATAAGTCAATGCTTAACCACTGAGCCATGCCAGTCTTTGAGAATTAGTTCTAATTCCGAGAAGAATGTCATTGGTATTTTAATACAATTGCCTTGAATCTGCATATTGCTTTAGGTAGGACATTTAACATTTATCCTTCCAGTTCATGAGCAAGCTATAAAGCTGTACCCTTACATTTATTTGTATCTTTTTCAATTTCTTCAGTGTCTTATAGTTTTCAGATATAGGTCTTTCACCTCTTGAGTTTATTCCAGTTATTTTTTAAAAATATGGTATATATAATTGATTTCAGAGAGGAAGGAAGAGGGAGAGAGAGATAGAAACATCCACAATGAGAGAGAATCATGGATTGGCTGCCTCTGGCAAGTGTCCTTGACCGGAATTGAACCTGGGACCTTTTAGACCTTTCAGTTCGCAGGCCAACGCTCTATCCACTGAGCCAAACTGGCTAGGGTCCAGGTATTTTGTTTTTGATATAAGTGTAAATAGGATTGTTTTCTTAATTTCTTCTTCTGATCATTCGTTATTGGTTTTCTATATGTAATATCATCTTATCTGCAAATAATGAGACTTTTACTTCTCTCTGTTTTTGGTGCTTTTATTTCTTCTTGTGTCATAGCTGTGGCAAGGACTTCCAATACTATGTTGAATAGAAGGGGTGATAGTAGGCATCCCTCTGTTGTTCCTGATCTTCAGCTTCTTAACCTAAAAAAAATAAGGCCTTTGAAAGTGAGAGACAACAAGCATTTATTTAGGGGAAAAAAATTTTAAGTGCTTATTTGGGTCTAGCCGACTTGGCTCAGAGGTCAGCCCATGAACCAGGAGGTCAAGGTTCAATTCACAGTCATAATGTATGCTAGGTTGCAGGCTCCCACTCCAGTGCGGGATGTGCAAGAGGCAGCCAATCAGTGTTTCTCTGTCATCATTGATGTTTCTGCCTCTCTCTCCCTCTCCCTTTCTCTGTGAAATAAAGATTTTTTTTTTTTTTTTTTTAAAGAATACCTATTTGCGCCAAAACCGGTTTGGCTCAGCAGTAGAGCATCGGTCTGTGGACTGAAAGGTCCCAGGTTCGATTCCAGTCAAGGGCATGTATGTTGGTTGCAGGCACACACCCAGTAGGGGGTGTGCAAGAGGCAGCTGGTTGATGTTTCTCATCGACGTTTCTAGCTCTCTATCTCTCTCCCTTCATCTCTGTAAAAAATCAATAAAATATATATATTTTTTAAAAAGTACTTCCACAATTATTTAAAAAAAAAAAAAAAAGAATACCTATTTGGGAAACACTAAGTTGTGGCAGAAGCAAATATTGAGTAGGAGACAAAGAAGTGGATAATTGATGAGAAAGGGAAGGGGAACAATTCCATCAATGGAAGAAATTTTTTTTTTATCGAAGTAGCTTTTATTTAAAAAATATACTGTATATATTGATTTTTTAATTTTTAATTAATTAATTTATTTTTTAGAGAGAGGAAAGGAGAGGGATAGAGAATTAGAAACATTGATGAGAGAGAAACATCAATCAGCTGCCTCCTGCACACCTCCTACTGGGGAGGTACCTGCAAACCAAGATACATGCCCTTGACCGGAATCAAACCTGGGATCTTTCAGTCCGCAAGCCAACATTCTATCCATTGAGCCAAACTGGCTAGGGTGAAGGAAATTCTTTTTATTGATGCAAATAACATAGCAATGTTAATTTTAAACAGAGTTTGTGATTTTTAGTCCAATAGTCTTCAGTCCAGTAGTTAAAATAACTGCTTTCTTGTTATCATTTCAAACAATGTTACTTTGGGCTCAGTCCAAAGGTTGTTTTGTCTTAGCATTCCAAAGATTTGAGGCATAAAACATGCAAGGCAGCTCCTCCTGCATGTCAGCTCTGGCTCCATTTAGTTTTGACAAGTTTCGCCATAGAGTATGATATTACCTGTGGATTTGTCATATACAGTCTATAGTATGTTGAAATATGTTCCTTCTATACTCACTTTGTTGAAGAGTTTTTGTCATAAAAGGATGTTCAATTTGTCATACTTTTCCTGCATCTATTTATATGTTTTATTTTGTTAATATGATATATCACATTGATTGATTTATGGTGGTCCGTCCATCCTTGTGTCTCTGGGATGATCTACTTGATCGTGGTGTTTAATCCTGGCTTGCTAATATTTTGTTGAGAATTTTACATCTATGTCCATCAAAGGTATTGACTTATAATTTGTCTTTTGTTTTTTTTGTAATGTCTTCATCTGGTTTTGAATGAGTTTAAAAGTGTTTCTCCCTCTTTTGAAATAGTTTAAGAAGGTTAGGTTTAATTCTTCGAATGCTTGGTAAAATTTATATGTGAAGTTACCTCCCTCTGAGCGACAGGCATGGGGTGCGATTGCTGGGCTGGCCTGGGCCTCCTTCCGCGGGGCTCCGCAGAGGAAGCGCTGGCTGGATAGCCTGGGCCTCCATCTAATGTATTTTTCATTTCAGTTATGGGTTCTGAAGCTGTGCTTGTGATTAGTGTACTTGCTGACTTTGTTGAAGTTCTAAGTTCCTCTTTTCTACTCTCAAGTTCGGAGAGCATCCTTATGATTATTTGAATTCTTTGTCAGGAAAATCACTTGTTTCTGTTTACTTCAGGTATTTTTCTGGGGATTTTTCATGTTCATTCATTTAAGAGATACTCTTTTGTCTTTTCATTTTGTTTGACTGTTTGTTTTTATGAAATACACAAAATGGCTCTCTCCCCAGTCATGAAAAAGTAGCCTAAGGTAGAAGCAGCCTATGTAGGCTGTGTGCTGGGTGGTTCTGGCAGGCAGGTAGGGCACTGGTCCACTGAGCCAGAATGGCTCCAGGTGGGTTTAGGCAGCCAGGTGCATGTGGTAGTGACCTGTCGATTTTCCTTGCTCCCTTTGCTCCGGGCTGAAATGGGCTTAGGCAATGTTTCTGGGAACGTGCTACAGGGACCTTGTAGTAGGCCAGAGCACCTGGCTAGAGCCCATGACCACCCTGCGGAGGCAGAGGGGGACATAAACAAGTTTGAGGAAACAACGCCAAACTTGAAGAATTCCCTGCAGTCCTGGGGCTCCCCACCTTTCTCTGCACACGCTCTTTTTTGTTTATTGCACAGAAAATAATCTTGTGAAGAAGTTACCTATATAGTATTAGCTGGAGCACTAGCCTATGTGGGCTAGCGTGGCTCCCAGCAGGGAGGCCAGGTATTTGTGGTGATGCCTTATTCCTGTTGGGAGACAAAAGACTGTGCAATGTAGCCAGGAACACCCAGCAGTGATCTTGCCGGGAGGCCGAAGCACCTGGTTGGAGCTCCCCAGCCCTGTCAAGTCTAGTGGAATGTGAACAAGGGTGCTCACTGGCTTCTCTGGCCAGAGTTCCCACAGCTGCTAGATGGCTTTGTGACTTCCCAACCTTCTCTATTCTCTTGTTCAGAAATTGTTCATTCAACCCTGTTATCTTGCATGAAGAATTGCTTTATTATTTGTATACTTCAGTTTGCTCATGGGAGAAGGCGTGTTTAACTTTCTCCTATGCTGCCACCATCTTGGAACTGAGAGGACCTACTGAGTACCTGGGCCCTGTGCTCTGTGTTCTATTTTCATTGTAAAGTCTCCTCTTTGTTTTGTTAATCCTCACCCAAGAATATTCCCGTCCCCCCATTGATTTTCAGAGTGGAAGGGAGGAATGGGGAGATAGAGACTCTTTGGTGCTTGGGCTTGTGCTATAACCACTGAGAATACTGGCCAGGGCCTATCTCATCCTCTTGGTAGCCCTGAGGTAAGCATTGCAATCCACATTTTGGAGGTGTGGACATAGACTTGTCAGCAGTTATGTATGGGAGTCATAGTTCAGATGCAAGCTGCCAGGACCTTGCCTGAGCTTGGCACTCTCTTAACAGTACATTAATCTCCCAGCTTCTCTGTGCAGACTAGAAACTTGTACCATATTAAGGATAAGTTAACTGTATGTGGGGAATTCAGATCATTTGCTAAGGTGGGTAGTGTTTCCTTGTGCAGCTTGCAGAAGGACAAGACATTGGTCTCCTCACCCACAAAATGGCTTCAGTTAGGGAATTGACAGTGTTCAACTCAAGTGTTAAATGGCATCATCCAGACTTTATCCAAGGAATTGGGAAAGGTTGCTGAAGGCAAGAATTGTCACTGGATTTAAGATGAATTGGTTAAAGCTGGTTAGCTGTCTTAACTTCAGTACTATTGATATTTGGGGTTGGATAATCTTGTGTGGGGTTGTCTTGTGCATTGCAGGATGCTTAGCATCTCTGACCACTACCAGAGATGCCATCTGCAGACTTCCATCTCCCAAGTTATGATAATTCAAAGATTTGCCAGATTTGGCCAGTTTTCCCTGGGGGGACCTAATAGATTGAGAAGTCTCCTGGGTGGAAGGAAGTGCAAAAGAAAAGTGAAATGGAGCCCAAACCCATTTTGCTCAACGGATTAAGAGCATCAGCCTGTGGACCAAAGGGTTCTGGGGTCAATTCTGGTCAAGGGCACAGCCCTCGTCAGGGTTTGTGCAAGAGGCAATCAACTGATGTGTTTCTCTCACATCGATCTTTCCCTCTCTCTTCCCCTCTCCCCAAAAATCAATGGAAAAATATCCTCGAATGAGGATTAACAATAAGAAAAAGTGAAATGGGGTTCATTTGCCCTGTGATGACAGGGAAGCCACTGTTTCTAAAGAACCGAGAGCCGTTTTGGCCAGTTAAGTGCAATGCATAGGGCATTGGGATCAGAGTGGTGATTCATGTGGGATGGTTGGGGAAGGCCTCTCTGAAGTTTGGTTTGAATGTCATGGAATAGCAGTCTTGGGCCATTAAGTGCAAAGGCTCTGAGGCAGAAAAAGCTTGATATGGGAACTTGGAATAACACAGGAGTGACTGGAAAAACAAGATGGCAAGAACTTCACGTTTTACTCAGACTATGTTATAAGATATTGGAAGATTTTAAGAAGGGATGACATAGCCAAAAACCGATTTGGCTCAATGGATAGAGAGTCGGCTTGGGGACTGAAGGGTCCCGGGTTCGATTCCGGTCAAGGGCATGTACCTTGGTTGCAGGCATGTCCCCAGTAGGGGGTGTGCAAGAGGCAGCTGATTGATGACTCTCATCTATGTTTCTGACTCTGTATCTCTCTCCCTTCCTCTCTGTACAAAATCAATAAAATATATTTTTTTTTTTTAAAAAGGGATGAAATAGTCTGGTTTAATTATTTTTTTAAATTCTCTCCAAAGAATATTTTTTTCATTGATTTTGAGAGACAATGGGAGAGGAAAAGACACATTAATTAGTTGCCTCCCGCACATGCCCTGACCAAGGCTGGGGGTTGAGCCTGCAATCAAGGTATATGCCCTTGAATGGATATGAGCCTGGGACCCTTTCAGTCCAAAGGTTGACGCTCTACCACTGAGCTAAACCAGCTAGGGCTGTTTTGATTTTTAAAATCACTGCTTGGTGGAGAAGGGATGTGAAGGAAACAAGGAGATAGGTGCAGAGGATAAGGAAATGGGCCCTTAGGATAGCCAGGCTCAAGGAGAATAGGGTCCGTTAGCCCTGTAGAGGTGGGAGACATTCCAATAGGGCCACTGAATCTAGGCAGTTGGATGTAGGTAGGACAGGGTTGTGAGGAGACTCATTTGGGCGGGAGGTAGGAGAGGGTTTGTTTGCCCAGAAGTTAGAGGTGGGTACCTCCTCCTCCAGCTCCCCCTATTTTTCTCTCTCCAGATGATGCATTTGAAGCTCTGCGCATTGAGCCCTTCTCCAGCCCTCCAGAGCTGCCTGACGTGATGAAGCCACAGGACTCAGGAAGCAGTGCCAATGAACAAGCTGTGCAGTGAAAGGGCCTGGGATCCGCTCCTCTCCAGTGCTCCAACCTCCCCCCCTCCCCAAATAAAAGAGATTTGGGTGTCTGCCTGGTTGCTGCCTCTTTATGCGCACCCTCTCCTGACTCCAGGCATCATCCCCACTAGGGTAGGGCTCATTCCTTGCAAGACTCCTTCCTTCCCAGCCCTCTCTTGCTTGCCAGGCTGGCTTGCTGGACCACAGGCTCTCTGTGCTCATCAATCCAGCCCCAGCCCAGCCTGTCTCTCAAAGGCCATGGGGAAAGAACTGGGAGAAACCCAGGGCTAGTCTTTTCAGTCTTCTCCTGTGGGGGCGGGGCTGGCTGCACACACAAAAAATTGTTCATTCCCAATAAATAGTCCCCTTTGCTGCTTCCCCCTCCACCTCCGCACACTGGCTTCCAGGCAGGTGCCTCTTTCCTGCTCAGAGACCAGAAGCAAAAGTGTAAGCCAGAACCAGTGTGTCTTCAGAGCAGTCTATGAAGAACCCCATAGTTGGTCACTAGAAGGGGCAGCTCTTCTCCCTGCCCTTCTCCACCCTCTAATAAAGACTCTGTAGACTCATTTCCTGCATTTCTCATTTTTATTTGACAGAAAAAGTTGCTCTTGCTGTACAGATTTTAAAAAACCAAAATGTCCTTAAGAAATGTGAAGAAAAGTTGGGGGGAAAGGGCCACAATCTCACTGAGGGGTGGGGGGGCTGTAAGGGCCAGCTAATTTTAACTCCTGCCCCTTTCCATAACATAGGAGTTCTCAAATCCCAAATCACCACCACCCCCTCTCCCCTGCACTCGGGGTAAATGGGGGGGACAATGACAGTGCCACCCAGGCCCTTTCTGACTCAAGGAGTCCTGAACTCTTATTTCCTCCTCTAGCAACTCCCATTCTTACTCCCACCCACGCCCAACCCCCCCAAAACGTGAACCAGAAAAACTCACAGATTAAACATTTCACAGGAACAAAAAAAAGGGGGGGATAGAGAAAGAAGGGAACCTCTTCAAGATGCTGCCAGGGTTTGGAGGGAGACAAGCACCCCTCCACACACACACACACACAGCTGTTGGGGAGAAAAGGGGCACTTCCTGTGTCTCCAGAACTTGGGGTGCGGTGGGATTCCATTCCCCTCAAAAAACATTCATGGAGACCTGCAACAGAGAAGAACGCCATTAATGCCATCTCGGGCAGCCAGAGCTCCAATAAGGCTCAGTCCTGGAGCACAGAGACACACCTGGAGGAGCGGTGCCGCACTGGGCGGGGGCTAGGTGTCTCCCTCCTGCGCTTGTGGCCTGGGGAGCGACTGTCCCCACGCTGACCTCTTCGGGAACCATGCTCACTGCTGCTGCTCCTGCAACACACAACAGACATCAGATCACAATACACACACACACACACACACACACACACACACACACACACACACACACACTCCTGCATCTTTAAGCCTGAAAACTTTTTTTTTTTTTTTTGCAGAAGTCAGCCAAACTGGGCTGGCTATTGGCAAGAACACATTAGTGGCCCTACCTCTGTTGGTCCTGTGGTGAGGGGTGTTGGCGCTCGGCAGGTGAATAGCTGAGGGACCGGGAGTCCCGGAGGGAGTCTATTGGCTTCCGAGGACTGCGGGACCTAAGAGTATAGAAGGTCCCCATAGTGCCACACACTTCCAAACACACCAGCCAGCACTCAGGACCACCCCCCCAGGTCTTGACCACCAAACCTCATACCACACAGGGCCAGCCTCAGACCCACCTTTGTCTGCTCACTCACCCAGCCGCCCGCATACCATCCACCGAATGCCCCAGTGGGCAGGGCATGGGGGATGAGACGGTGGGGGACACAAAGGTAAAGACAGTCCCTGCCCTTGGAGGGACTGTCTGATGGTAAAGGAAGGCCAAGAGGCACACTCTCAGCCTCATGTGTGGGAAGCAGCCCCACAGGGACTGATATAGGTAGACCTGGGGACTCAGGGGAGGGAGATGAAGGGAAGGGGGCAGGGTAGTCTTCTCGAAGGTGCTGTTTGAGCGGAGTCTTGCAGAACGAGGAGTTCACCAGGCGGACAAGGGAATTCCAGGCAGAAGGAACAGCATGTCCAAAGGCATGGGGTTCTCCTTAGACTGCAAGGCGCTGGGAGTGGCTGGAGCAGAGGGCATGTGTGGGGGCGGGCAGGAGAGGAGAACACAGGGCAGGCAAGGCCAGTTGGTGGAGAGCCTCACACGCCATTCCCGCAGAGACGGGGCTTTATCCTGCAGGCCACAGGGCGTCCCAGAAGGATTTGTGGAGTGGAGGGAAGTAACCAGATGTGCGTTTTAGAAAGATCCCTCTGGCTACATGTGGAAGAGAATGGCGTGGAGGCAGGGAGACAGGGAAGAGGCTGTGGACAGAGTCAGGAGATGATGACGGTGGCCAGACCAGAGGCCTGGCAATAGCAATGGGGAGACTTAAAAGCTAGAATCCCTGGGAACAGGGACCATGCTGCACATCAGGGGCAGAGAGAAGGAACCTAGGACTCCCCAATTTTGGCTGGGGCACCCACTTGGATGGCGCAGCCCTTGTCAGAACAAAGCACAAGAGTTATGTGGAGAGAAGAAATTCTAACTCCTCCCATACAACCAGACACCACAGAGTCCATATGAGACACCCAGCAGGGAGGGATCTCACACTTCCAGGGACACATCCCACCCCTACCATCGCAAGCAAGATAGCACTCACCTCCGTTCACCAGGGGGTGGCTTCTTGGGACTTGCAGGTTTGGGCAAGGCCTGAGGGTCAGGCTTAGCAGGGGAAGGAGAGGATGTAGAAGAGGAAGAGGAGGAGGAGGAAGAGGAAGAGGAAGAAGAGGAGGAGGAAGAGGAAGAGGAAGAAGAGGAAGAGGAGGAGGAGGAAGAGCTGGAACTGGAACTGCTATCGCGCCTCTTCCTCTTGGCTGGCGTTGGTTCCTGAGGTCGTCCCTCTCGTTCATTCTCTTTTGGGGCTGGGGGAGGACTAGGGACCCTGTAGGAAGAGTACAATGTCACAAGGAGAGACCAGCTGCCCCAACCCCAACCCTACCTTCCAAGACCAGGAGGAAGGGCAGTGGGGGAGGGGTGCTTGAGAAAGGTCCTGGGAACTCCCAGCCAAAGCCAGAGAGCCAGTGACCCAGTGAGCATATTCTCTGGAGAGCAGTGGCCCCAAGCTACCCAACCTCTGCTAACGTAAGCAATAGGCTGGGGGTCTGCGACACAAGGGATCAAGGTTAAACCTCAAGAATGCCCCTGATGAAGGAAAACGGCCCCTGGGCTCAGGTTTGGGTGCAAAGCTGGGTGGTCTCCTTCCTTGGAGAGCCAGCTTGGGTAGGCTCCTGTGTGTGTGCGCGCGCGCTGGCTGGGGGAGGAGCTGTCCTGCCTGAAGGCAGGAAGAGGGATGGGATGACCTCTGAAGATCCTTCCAGCCCAGGGAGTTCCTCTTGAGGTCTAACTGCCATCCCTCCTGCTGTAAAATTAAGTCCATTTCCTCTAGTTCTGTCCTCTGTAGAGATGGAAAACTTATCATTATCCTCTAGAGAATTAACCTTTGGAGATTTTTCTGTCCCATTCCATCCACCAACACCCCCAACCCACATTCTCTCTATTCCCAGCTTAATGGTCATGTCCCCATACCACCAAGCCAAGAACCCTCTGGATAGGGCGTTACCTTCCCCATCCCAACCCAACCTTTATAAAACCTTCCCCTTGGAGAAGTTCTAACAGCCAAGTCCCCTTACCTCTTCAGTGCTACCTCGGGTTGAAGGGGAAGGCCAGAGCCCTCCGAGTCACTGGAACTGGAGCCAGAGGAGGAGGAGGAGGATGACGACGACGACGACGATGATGATGATGAGGAACTAGACGACGATGAGGAGGAGGAACTCCGCCGCTCCTTTGCTGGCTGCAGGGCCCCCGTGGAGGCAGGTGGTTCCCCCACCTCAGGGTGGGAACCCCCAGGGACAGGGACAGAGAGCATGCCATTGTGGTCACCAGCAGAGGATGGGGTCTTTGCCGACCCAGAGAGGGACTGAGATCCTGCTACAGGGGTGGTCTGGGCAAGCAAGGATCGGGATTGGTCAGAAAGAGCAGATGGTCCAGGGGACCTAGGCCGATCCTGAGCTGAAGGGAGAACAGACTGTGAGGGAGGAGCCTGAACCATTCTAGAAACAGGAGAGGGAGCCCGTTCAGAGGTCATTCTAGACTGGCTTGGGGCAGCTGGTGGGGTTCTAGACCTGGCTCGGTCAAGGAGTGGTGGTGAGGATCTTCCACTAATGCGCTCATAGGCAGAAAGGGGCACCCTGGGGCTGGTGAGGTTTGCACCAGACAAAGCTGGAGCCATTCTAGCACTGGTGAGGCTTGCAGGGGCCAAGGATGGTGGGGTTCTTGAGCTGGCAATATTCACAGAAGCTGTGGCATGTGTAGATCTAGGACCCACCAAATTTGCAGGGGTTGGTGCCTGGGGTGTTCTGGAACTGGATGGGTAGTTTGCAGAGTTTGGGGGTGTGCCAGAGCCTGTGAGACTCAAAGCTGCCAATGCTGCTGGGGTTCTGGCTCCTGGTAGGTTCACAGCTGGGGCTGTAGGGGTGCGTGGATCAGCGAGGTTCACAGCAGATGGTGTGACTGCTGTTCTGGGGCTGGTCAAGTTCATGGCTGCTGCTGCAGCTGGTGTTCTCGAGTCAGCCAGGTTTACTGCTGTTGGTATGGCAGGTGTCCTGGCGCTGGCCAGGTTCATGGCTGCTGCAGATGCTGCAGGAATCCTACTGGCAAGGCTGGCAGCTGGGGCTGTTCTGAGGCTCATGAGAGGCACTGGAGCAGGGACCTGGGACATTCTTGCAGCAAGGCCTGCAGCAGACATGGATGGAGGAGGCCGAGCAGTGCCAAGACTGATGGCTGTCAGGGCAAGTGCAATTCTAGACTGAGCATGATTTTCTGGCACAGATGTTCTAGGATGATCAGGAATTCGGGGACCTGGACCATCCATCATGGAGCCACCAGCCTGCTGCAGGACAGACATGGGTGTTCTAGCGCTACCAAGGGGTTCAAGCATTCCAGGTGATCTACAGCGGTCAAGAGGAGTTGGTGACATGCTAGGACGACTGAAGCAACTCATTCTGGAGCTATTGAGTGCTACTGGAGGCGTCCGAGAACCAGAATGATTCCTTGTTGCAGGAGGAGTAGCAGAACGTGAACGATCAGAACTACTTCCAGATACGGATCGTCTACGGATGGCTGGAGGAGATCTTGTTAAGGACCTTTTACCCCGTGTCATTCGTGGAGTACGAGATCTAGAACGGCGGCGGACAAGCGAACGACTTCGAGAGCGTTTCCGTGGCAAAAGTGGGGTTCGAGACCTAGAGCGGCGCCGAATAGCTGGAGGCGTTCGAGACCTAGATCTGCGGCGTGTCACTGGAGAGGTTCGAGAGCGGGATCTCCTTCGAGTTATTGGACTGGTGCGAGATCGAGATCTCCTGCGAGTGACTGGGGATGTTCTGGATCTGGATCTTCTGCGA